CGTCATGTGATAGGTATCAATTTGAATGGTTCGGAACAGCCTCATTTTTTTATTGGTGGACGTTAGATGGCAGATATCCACAATTAAAAGCACTCACATCTGCCATGAGATAGGCGACTCTAACGCAAAGGGCTCCGCATGCCTGAAAGTCCTTGGAATTTTCCGTGCCAAGACGGAGTGCATAACTTCACTAGGTCCGCCAGAGTTCCTTAGCCCTTGCCCGCCTTTCTGCCTATCAAGTCTAGGGGGCTTTCTGCCAGGATCAAAGAAGCCAGTTGCAGTAAGGATACCTGAGAGAGGCATGCCATTGACCTTGCGCTGCACGCTTGATGAAGAAGCTGCTATGCTGCATGCGGTTTTCAGCTTGGAAGCTAACCCAAGAGCAGTGGGCCAACCTCTTCAGGCATAAGACTTGAGGCAGTGAAGTGAATTCAGAAGCTTAGCCTTCTTTTCCGCTGGACATGCCAGGCTCATGCGTGGGGAGACCAGTGGCTGCACTAAGTCCGGAGGCTGGGAGTACGGGGCTGGAGGAGCTCATTGAAGTGAGCACGTAGCGCAAGAAGTTACAGTTGGTCACTTGTTGCGGGATGCGACATGACAAGTACCCATTTTTGGGGGTGAAATGAAAAGAACTGGTTAAGGTGCTACAAGTTGCTCAACGTCAAGAAGGATCAATCGACCTATCGTATGAATAGGCTGGCAGAAGGAATCCGCCTCTCGCTTTCTTCATTGTTCTTTCTTCTCTCATTCTCTTTTTCTCCTTGTCTGATCTCGCCAGACGAGGGCTCGGAGGATGCCAGACAATGCAGCGAGCCCGTGAAAGATTTCAAAGGTTTGTATGGAACGTCGCAGGTCATTGGTGACAAACTCTCAGATCCTAGATGCATGCAGACCTGGATTCAGGTGGTGCTGCGGTGGTGATCGACGAAGTATGCGAGCGGCTCAGAACCGGCCTTGCCAAAGTGGGCAGTAGCAAGTATTCTTTCAGGCTGGCTGGAGAGCAGTTGCGGGTTGCCATAAGACTTAGAGTAGGCGAGAGCCTAAGGTAGGATGTCGCTTCCTGAGACGCCGTTGCGGTTTCCAACAGTGTGTACGGCAAAACAGATCCCGAGTTTGCGAAGCGCATTTTTCGCAAGTCCCTTGCAACAGGCCACGGTGTTCGCTCACCCACCTGGTTTGTCATGGTGGTCCCGAACATCACCCTTTTGGTGGTTTTGATCAGCGTGTAGGCAAATGTAGAGTGGGTAAAGGTTTAAAGGGAGCATGCGGCCTGTTTTTGTGACTTCAGGTGTGATCGTCCGATGCCCGGAGGCTCAGAAGTTTCACCGCAGCTTACCCCTGCTTCTATCCTTTCCTGAGGTGAGTCGGGTTGGTTGGAAGACAGTATGCGTTGATTCCCGCCTCCCCAAACTGGTGGCTAGTCCTGAAGAAGCATTCTCCTCTTTCATAGTTTACAGCACGCCATGTTGGCATGATATGGCTGTGGGTCAAAACCAATGGTACCATTTTAGTGATTTTAGTCTATTTCAGTCGGGATTGGGATGTGCACTAGGGGTGCGAGATTTTGACCCTTTTTTGGACCCGTGCATCTCTTCCCCGGGGCAATGGTCTTGAGTAGAGCTTTGATGCTGGGCCTGGACGAGCAGCGTGCGTGCACTTCCCATCTTACTGCAAGTCCATGTCAACTTTGGGCCGATTCAGATGACAGCACCACTCAGATTCAAAGGCAATGTCTTGAACATGGATCAATCCCCCACTAGCAGGGGGACCATCCTTAAGCCTTGACTCAATCCAAGGTTCACACCACAAGTTAGAAACTCAGAGAAGTAGCTGGACTCAAAAGAGTCGACAGAAGCAAACCAGGTGGCTGGCTGCATCATCTCGCTTTGTGGGCTTCTGGCTTTTGGTCTGCCCATCCACTCCCCTTCAGCGGGAATCCTTTCGTGCGCCGAACACCACTTGAACGGCCAAATTTTCTGGCTCGCCTGGATGACTTTTCGAGGGTGCCAAATCAGCAGTCCCGGGCGATGTATGCTGCAGATCTGGCTGTTTCTAGTGCTTCTTCAAGTGGCGACTTCAGAGGGCCAGTCGCATTTGTGGCGATTTCAGACACTTTACGTACCAAGGTTGGGACCACGCACTCTCCGTGAATCTCATTTATCCATTGCGACATCTTGGGAAGCACAGATCATCACTAATATAAACTTAAGCAACCAGCACGCCCCTCGGCACTCGAGGCTTTGAGGGGCTCGGTGCGCCTATAGTTGTGCCACCAAGAGGCCTGTCACAAGATTGGGAATTGTCAGGATGTCGGGGGGGGGGGGGGCATAAAACTTCACTATGTGCCACTTGCGGAAGGGGTACTGCCTTGCACGCTGATGTTGGTGGTGTATAAACCTCCATGGATCCAACCCCATACTTGAAGTGTTGGAAGATGGGGAACTCACATGGGCCCAGGACGACCAAGGCAGAGGTGGAGGAGTTTAGGCAGGATGGGAGGGGATGGGGTGTACCTCAAAATCACATCGACTGCGAAATGGGATGCTTTTCAACATGGTCGGTGCAGGATTTCTTACGACTTTTCAGTCGCAACAATGCGGGTTTGTGTTGGGAAGGTTGTGCACTGTAAGCTGTTTGGATTTAGGAAACACATTTTGCTGTGCGCTGCAGGTTTGCTGTGGCATTCGCGCGCTGCCTTCTTTGGCACGGCAGCACGCGTTCGGCCTGAGGTCTAGGCAGCATTTCCAATTGGTCACAACCCAAGCCGTTGGCTCATCCGCCAAAGAGTTTGAATTAGCAAGACACGCAACATGGTTCACTGACACCACATTCTTCCAGTGCCAGTTTGTTCTGTTCTCACCACCTTGACTACATCAACAGATCCCGTTGCTTGGAGTGTGGCAGCCAAGCGTTGTTGAGATCAACTGGAGAAGTGAATACTAAACAAACCTCTATTAACACGGATCAACATCTTCCGAAGTAAGGATCCAAATACATGAGGTTCGGCCGCGCACCAGATGCAAAACTTGCCGGACCTCACAATCATGTAGATTTGGCAAAGTGAATATGACTCCACCACATTTTCCCAAAACAAGTGATGCTCAGAACATGAGAAGCACCCAGTCTTGGCATTCTTGCTTCCTTTTGTTTAGTCAAGCCACAATCAACTCCTGGGCAGATGAAGGCTAGCAACCACAAGTGGGTGCAGCCGCCATTTTAGTTCTTTACATGGTTCTGGGCAGACCATTCAAATACCCGGCTTTGATTATGACTCAGTTGGCTTTTCACGTCAGAATGGCCAAAGCTGCAGCGTTCGGTTTTCTGCATGGCCGCTAGGCCGCGTATTCAGCTCCGTTGGGCCCTCTTTTTGCGTTTGGGCCCAAGATGGTTGACCCATATCCAGAAGGGTCGAAGGGGCTGAGCGCAGCTTTTCTTGTTATAGGGCAACGCGAGCTTTCAGGCTGTGGCAAAGCAATCGTCAACTTCCGTCTTGGCTGCAACGCCAACCTTGAGCGAGTCAATTGGTTGTTTGACGGTGAGGTTTTAGCAGTTCGGCCACCCATACCTGACACCGGGCAAGGCTGACATGCCTCTTCACAATGTGTGACTCCATTCTTGTAGCTGAAGCCAGCCGTACGGAAGTTCCGGTCTTTAGTACCAAGATTCAGGTTCTGCTGGCCACCCTCCTCATCCGACTTTCAGCCTGGACAGGCAAGCGGCGCTGGCCGCACACCCTGACAGCGGGGGTTCGGAGGAGCTCCTAGTTGGGTTCTGAGTCGGGTTGCGTTGACCTGGAGTCACTCAATGGGAGTCAGATAGGCCCGAAAGATCGATTCTGGGGAATTGCTCACGTTGTGTCCATTCATGAGTTCAGGTGTATTTGATGTCGCTTACGTGGCGTGGTTTGCTCGGAGGTGCAAGTGAATGATGTTGGAACGAACTCTTGGCCTGTGGAAAATCATTTACGCGTTTTTGCCTTCTGACATGTGCCTCCTATCCCTTGTCAATATAAGTCTTATTAGCGGTTTCGGTTGTCTCAGGCTCATAGCAAGCCAAAGGGCCCATTTTGTTACCTCCAAACCATCAATTTGGAAATTTGCAATCTGTTCTTGGGGCTGACTCTTCAAGGCGGTCAATCCCCAGGGCCCTGAGCCACTCGGCAGAATGCGTGAGCCTAAACTGCCCTCCGGGAAACCGCGATGGCCCGGTGTGGCTCTTGGGTCAAAGGCTGCAGGCTCGATCCGTGCATGGCCCAATGGGATTGTATTCCGGGGTCCTGATATCAAAACAAACCGCAGAAAGAAGGGCAAACGGACCGTAACTTGCAATGTTCTTCGGACCACGCCAAACACACATGCAGCAGGAGCTCGATCATTCGTTGAGAAGCACACGAACATTTCCAAACATTAGAGGCAAGTATCTTGCATCTTTCATAGGTTGTTCTGAACCGTTCCGGCCTGTGCTGTGGCCGGTTCCTTCTTGGGGATTGCAGGGATGCTAAGGGAGGCATTTCCGTTGCCCTGGTTGCATTTATCAGGTGAGACTTACTTGCCTCATTCAGACATTCCTGCACATGTGGCAACACTGAGGGCAACAGCAGTGTGGATGATCTACTGCAAATATACGAGCCACAGACAGCTGTACATTACAAGGGTAAGCCCCTTTACACATCACCCAAAAGGACACTGACTGCAAAAAGTGGCCAACAAGGTGATTACAGCTCCAAACAAGGCACTATGCTCCATGGAAACTAACTGATTGCAAACTGGTCCAACAAGTTGATGACAGCTCCAATCATAGGTGTCCTTTGGGTTTATTGGTTGAAAAATAGAGGGCGATTTCTGGTTTACCTGCTGGTTCAATCAACTACCAGGGCCGTCTATTTTCCCAAAAAGGACACCTATGGCTCCAATGGGGCTTTTGGACCAATCCACGGGTTTTTGTTTGACCCTTGTAAATTAAGCCAAAAACACCTGATTGCAAAATGGTCCAACCAGTTGATGACAGCTCCAAAGATGTCCGGAGTCTACAATTCATCACCAACAGGAACACTACCAATTGAACCTTTTTTAATACACAATTACCTTCTTGAATATCACGATCATTACTAGTTTTCCAGTCCAGCCGCAGGAAACCTTCCGCCGCGTCCTGGACGCCTTCCGCGCGCGCCTGGGCGTCCGCGGCCTCGGGAAGCGCTCCGGGGCGCGGCTGGACCGCGAGGACGGCAAGGGAGCTCGGTGCTTGCAGGATTGGAGTCTAGGTCCCCCAGTATGGGTGGCATGGGTCAACATTCAACCACCAAAATATGGAGTCTAGTTTTTTTTTTCAGCTAGGTGCGATTTTATCGTTTCTTTTTTTCGGGGGAGGGTTCCCCTACTAAAATAGACAGCAGAAAAAGAAGAAAAAAAACGGGTACCCTTATTCTAACCTCTCTACTGGAGGACCTAGGAGTGCGTCACCAAAAGGGGTTTCGGTTCCAAGAAAGAGCCGCAGGTGTGAATATGTTGGTAGGACACTCCCCCTGAAAAGGAGCTGGACAAATAAATGTCTATGTGGATATGGGTCAAAATTAAAGTGCCAGGATATGGACTGCAGCTAGTGCAAGTTTCCATTTACCAGGGTAACCCATTTGAGGGTTGCCCTATGTTTGACTCACAGCCTTGTGCCCATCCCCGTAGGTTCTTGTGTTTTTAGTTGGTTGAGTGACAGTTTTGCATCTAAGCCACCACAAGAGAGATAAACATTTGGCAGGATCTGAAACCGACCAGCCCAGATATGTAAATGACTTGCTGGTGCGAAAAGTAAGGAATATGAGAATTCAAACGGGAAGGGGATTCCGAAATAAAGGAAGCCACCGGTTGTATGGTTTTTCTTGAGGTTCCAACTCTCATTCCCTTCTCTCGTTTACCAGCTATAACCCACTTGGGGGTTGCCCACCGCCACACGGAATCGGACAGGACCGGCTGGGCCGCGCGCTGGCGGTCCTGGAGGCCGGGCTGCAGGCTTTGCCCCGGGAGAAGCGGCGCAGGCAGCTGGAGCTGATGCCACAGCCGGGGACCCCAGCTCCGGCGAAACGCAACGGGGCCATGGCCAGAAGTGGAAAGATCCGGAGATTGGGAGGTGCCTCTTCTTTTTTGGACTTCTGAACTTTCTGTTTTTTTGGGGGACTTCTGAGCTTGGTCTGTTTTTTGTTATTGGAGCTGGCAAGGCAAGATTTTTCTGAGGGGTGGTTGTCTGGTTGTCTGGCCCAATGGAGGAGGTTGGCATTTTGCGGGCTGTATGCAATACCTTTTGCAGGGGTTGTCTGGCCCAATGCATCCAACACATGTGTCTGAGGCGGTGCATTGCAACATTTGCTTGTGAGAGGAAAGCAAGCTTTGTGCTCTCACAGGGACCATTTTGAATATGGCACAGGTGCTCAAATCATTGAATCTCATCATCATGCCCATGAGCGCGCGGTGTTTGTTTCTTTGCGAGTTGTGTTTTATTTTTTTACAGAAACGGATGTTCCTCACAAATCAATCTGCTCGAAGAGTTGAAGAACGAAAGCCAAAGATTGTTGAAACCCTTAAAGGACTCAAATAAGTGTGGACAAAGTGGCGATCGAAGCAGAATGATGTGGATTTCTCTGTGGGATAATTTCAATCATATCCCTTTCAGCACTTTAGAAAGTGGGGGCTACTTGGGTTGGGCAAGTTTTGTCAAAAAGTCTCCTCTACATGGCAAATAAAGGAAGGTTGGTTGAACACTAGGTGCCTCAAGATGTTCAAGCAGTGAGTTGGCCCAACCCCGTGCTCTCCGAAACGACATGCCCATGCACCAAGCTGCACTCGATCCAGGAAGTTGCGCTTGGCGCTTCTTTCGCGCATGGCCACGAAGCAGATGTCGAGCCTTGGCTCGATATCGCTCGATGTCGCGCGAGGGCGGTAAGTCGTCGCGGGCTGCGGGTACTGCGGGAGTCTTCAAATGAGCAACTGACAACACCATTGGAAGTCTACTGTTGGGGAAGTCAGTGGGGACAGCCCGATTGTTGCCCAAAAACCCAGGGAACAGCACAATTATTTCCCTTGGCTTCTTGGGGAACAAAGCGTACCGTGAGTCAAATGGGACATGGGTTCCCTCAAATGAAAATGCTCCGGTTTCCCTGTGGTGTCCCTTTTTCACAACCCAACAAATTAGAAAGGGGGGAATTGCTATTTTATGCCAAAAGGATACATCATCATTCATTATGGAGTGGGTTGCTTGGCAAACAATCTGAACCCACTTGTTAGATACTCGCATGTTCTGCATTTTTGTGCGTGCGTGCGTGCGTGCGTGCGTGCGTGTGTAGCGTATATGAGCCCTATGCTTTGGGAGTTCGCAGGTTCTAGCAAGCATCTTCCAGGAAGATGAGAAGTGTTCCATCGTCGGAGCATCCATCAGGGCGACAGCCTTTTTAGGCCATCTACAACATCTGGCACAATGACCCATGTGGGCTTATGAACACTACATTGGTAGCATCAGTTCATCTTGCGGGGGGGGGGGGGGGGAGGGGAGCGGGGGATCCTGAGGGAAAATTCTGAGAAGCACGCGCGTGAATCGACGTCATGTTGGCGTGTTTGGTAATGTGTAGACGTGTAGGTATTTCTTGGTCTTGGTTGCTCACTTCACTGCGGTGCAGTTTCGGGGTGTTCGGCATGTTCACCTGGCAGAAGCTAGGTACATCCCAGAATCAAGGAGGGTGGAGATGGTTGGCGGTCTTTGCAAGAATTGCTTGTTGCACTAACACATATATATATATATATGCAACCCCCCCCCCCATGGACCCTGGTTTTACTGCCTTTTGGGGATGGCACATCTAGAATTTCCCAAATTTATATTCTCGAAATTTCCAATTGTGGGTCCCCAAAGCGTGATAATTTGGAGCCCGGAGTCCTCCACAATGTCCCAGTATGATACCCTTTGCACATAAGATGTTACTTCAACTAGAATTGGTATTTTGATTATAGTTTAGCATGGATATAGTTTTCAAACATGTGTTTATGTTCAATTACAGCTTAAACAAGCAAATCCTTTCCAAATAGCAGCTACATGAAAATGTAAATATATATATATTCGGCTAAACTCCAACTAATCTATAACACAAGCAGTTAGATGGAAGTTGTTTCCCAAATATAATCCAAGTGGTAAGTATAATCTAAGACGAACACAACTCAACTTGCTTTTGATAATATCAAGTGAATAGAGACTACATCTCAAATATAATTCATATTAAATATGGCTAAACATTTGGAAATAAAAAATAGGGTTTGTGTTGTTTACATTCTGGCCCTTTTGTAGCATAAGAAAGGTCCGACATTGAACTTGTTAGACGGTGTTCCAAAGGAAAAATTCAAGGGAAGAGAGGTTCAAAATCTAAAACTATCTCGAAACAGGGATTCCAGCTAAACCGTTGTATTTAAAGTTCTATTTGCGCAGGAAAGTTAATTCTATGTCAAAAGGTGGAGGTAGTAGATGAGCAAATGTGGACAGGTAGTTGAAGAGGGTGGGGGACGGTGTGTGAACGTACATACATATGTATATCTATATATACACATACATACACACATATATAGTACCCCCAATCATCCTGCGCCTCCTCATAAAATACTGGAAAATGCAGTATTTTTGAGCGTTGCACCTGCCTTTGTTTACCTCCTGGAAAGGGGTCAACATGAGCATAGCTGACATGAAGCTCACCAAAAGCACTTGAAAGGTTGTCTAACCAATAACTTGAAAGTGTGTCCACTGGATCGCTAAGCACCTGAAAATTTGCTACTATCGGATGGAAGATTCAATATTGAAGATTACACAGAACACTTTCCTGAGAATTGTCAATCCTGGCCAAACCCAAATAGCATTCAAGTTCTTCTAACACTTGAAAGTGCTTTACCACTGGATTGGGGATTCAATATTGAGGAGCCCACAAACCACCACTTTCCTGAGAATCATCCATCCTGGTCAACCCCTAAAATGTTCAAGTTGTTCTATCACCTCGAACATCCGTTACCACTGGATTGAACTATTTCACGGAACACTTTTCCGAGAATCTTATTGAACACCGAGAGTATTGGGACAACCCTGGAATTTTTAAAACTTTTTAAAAATTATGGGATTCAAGATTCAAGATTCCCAGAAAATATTTTCTCAGATTCTTGAATCTTGCATCTTGAATCCATATTTTTTAATATTTTTTTAAAAATTATGGGATTCAAGATTCAAGATTCAAGATTCCCAGAAAATATTTTCTCACATTCTTGAATCTTGAATCTTGAATCCCATAATTTTTAATAATTTTTAAAAATGTCTGAGTTGTTCTTGTATTCTTGGATGCATTCAAACTCTTTCAGATTGCAGGTGCTGATGTCATTGCTTTTATTACATCTGTATGCATGCATGCGTATCATATACATGTACGACCCTCCCCCCAATTTTGACACAAATCCAAGAAGCAAAAAGAAGCATAAACCACTGGAAAATGCAGGTCAACCGCACCAAACCAGGGTCCATGGGGGGGGGGGGTACCATAGATGTATATATATATATATATATACAACAAACAATATTAATACTACATATATATATATACATACACAACAAACAATATTAGTAGTACTACATATATATATATATAAGTACACACACACACATACACATTTAAATATACACGAATATATACACATATATGTACATACATATAAACATATAAGCATATAGTTGTATGCATTTATAAGTATATCAATGTAATACTTATTTGTCATGATACTGTGTCTATTTTGTAGGTGTTCTCTTTTTTTGCGGTTTTGAACCTACCTAATCAAGCCGAATAACCTCGAACAAGCCAAGAAACGCAACACAAACACAAATCAAACAAGCAAGCAATTGGTGTAATAAAAAAGCACCCGGATCGAAAACCTCAGGAACACCAAAAGAACACAAAGCAACAACTCTATGAACCGCTTGTCATTGCTCGCAAGCCTATTGCCCTTGGAAAGAGCGAATGACTGATCGCGCAAATCAAATCCCGATCTGACCCTAAACCAACACACCACAAGAACAGATCCCAAACTCTAATCCGGCCTGAGCCAACCATGACCCACCATACAACCAAGCATCATCCACCATAAATCAACATGAGAAAAACAAGAACCCCCCCCATCCCTAACCCGAACTCCACCCAAAACCAACGGCCAACAAGCACCACGCCCCACCAACCCGAACTCCGCCCAAAATTCGCGCCACCCAACCCCAGCTCCACCCCAAACCGGCGATGGAGGTCCCTCCCCTCCGGCGCTTTCCGAAGCGGCTTCGGCGGTCGGAGCAGCTGTATCTTGGAGCGGCGCAAGGGCCGGTTCCGGGCCCGGCAGGGCCTCGGCGGCCTCGAGGCGCGGACCCAGCGCCCTGGCAGAGGGCTGGAGGGCGAGTCGAGGGACGTGGGGACGTGGGGATGGGGGGACATAACCGCGGAAGAAGGAACACAAACATCTTGAGAAGGATCTCTTTTTGGGGAAAAGCACCGGTTTTTGGGGGTCCATGCTTATTTGTAGGTTGGGGGGGGGGTGAGGGGGGCTACCTGACCCAATTGCTGCCTGCTGTCCGTTCCGGAAACGGACAGCACCCCGACCCTTTCTCCTCCTTTCGCCACCAACGCCAACAAAACCAGACCTATTGTGGCTGGCGTGCAAGTTGGCATTCAGTCCTCAAGCAAAAATAAGAGGTTCCCCGGACCCCTCCCAAAAAACCGAATTGGGATGTAGCCCTGAAATGGCCCCCTGGTAAATGGAAACAACGAAAAAAACCTGTGGTCCCTTAGTGGTGTAATTTTGACCCATACCCATGTGGACAAGGTCTTCCCTGAGTCGAGGTATCTGGGCCTCGACGAGGCGCTTCAGCAGCTGGCGGTGCTCGTGCAGCTGCGGGCCGCACTGCCGGACGCTGGGGCTTTGGAGGAGCAGATGCCTTAAGCCCCAAAAGGTGTCACAAAAGCGGGGGCCAAAGGGGGGAACCTGAAAGGAGACTCAAGTGCGAATTGCAACATGTGATTCTTTTTGCTGAAGTTTTGGTGGACACTTGACTTGGGGTCTATTTTGCAGCCGCTTCCTCGGCATTGGGTTTTAATGGTTGTGGCCTGCAAAATCACCTTTGAGAGCCCATGGGCGACTTCCATGTCAGCAAGGGAAGGGGTTGCAGCAGGGCGGTGCAAATGGGGTGTCACAAGGTGGTGACAAGGGCTCACAGGGTTTTGATATGAGGTCGTTGTACACTTGGTGAAGCGCTGCTTATGCGAGCCACTTAATTTATATTTAAATAACTTTGTCCGTTCTTGCAAAGGGGGATAGCATGGGGCCCCACTTGCCATGTAGCGACGAAACAACAAGAAGGCTGTCAGCAATCAACTTTGGCTGTCCTTCTTGGATGCGTCTTTTTTGAGGGCACCTTTTCAGCTAAATTTTTTACCGCCATTTTGGAGCTACCCCTTTGCCACACACCCACTCGGAGCTTGGAGGACGAGTCTTGGCACCGGCTCTTCCAAAGGCATTCGGCACGACTTTGCCCGGAGGCCGGGCTGTACCGAAGGATGGAACGTGCTCAGTAGGGAATGAGTTGGAACCCCCATAAACCATCTCATGGTTTCCTGGGGAAGGTTCATTCCCTGAGCTCCGGCACGGAAATATTGCAAGATGATCTTGGAAACGCCACCAGAAGCAATGAACAGGAAGAGTCAGGTGCGATACACGTTCACCTGCCATACATTGTTTTGTTGGCATTGCGGATGTATCAATTCCTTTCGTATGAATTCTGCAAACAGAGGCTGACTGAGTCAGCATTTCCTTCGTTTCAGCCATCGAGTGGGTTTCTGACTCTGCAGGGCATGCAGCTTGCCTTCCGGGGCGTTGGCTGCTGCTTGGCGTTGCGGTTGGAGGCGGGGACTCGCGGGAAAAGCTGGAACTGTGGAGCTTCTGCCCCGCGGTGCTGTTGGGCGTACAATTTTTTACTGGCCCCATTTTTTAGCGTGATCAAAGTCACCCCCTAAGTGGTGGGTTAAAGGGAAACAACCACATTTTCTGACTTTGATAACCCCCGCCTCGGCGCAAAACGCGCTGTGTGCGTCCTTGCTGTGACTTGGCCTTTGAGAGTGGGGATCCCAGATGAGGTGAGGTGAAGTGAAAAGCTGAGCAGAGGTGAGCTATATGATTCTGCAAGTTTCTGTCATAAATTGTAGTGTTTTGTTGTTGTCAAGTGAGGATCACATAGGAAAGGATCGTGTTGAGCTTTTATCCGGCAAGGCGCTACATTGCTAAGGGATGCCTCGAGAATTTCAAAATAATTTGTGGCGTGGACTGCTGGCTTAGACCATTCCTGGGACGTTGGCTGCCAACAATGGCTCTGAATTTTGATTTCGCTCATTGGGGTGGACTCTGCAACTCAGCAGACAAACGTGTTGCCCAGCCATAGTATGGGCATACAGAAAGCAATCGGAACAACTCAGGTTGTCCACAGCGCGCAGACCGACGAACCCAAACAATCCCGTGAGGCCGTGGTGCAAACGATCCATCCGGGCCAAAGTGTTCCATACAACTCGACTTAATTCCTCTAGGCTCCTTTGGGTCACTGGATGGCCCAAGTTTTTGCCAAATTGAAGCTCTGCGTTGGTTAGCATTGCCTCCAGTGCTTGTACATACCCCTTTTACATACCCGTTGGACAAATGAACCCGAAAGGCTTGCTGATGTTCATACCCTTATAAAGTGGGTTGGAAACCACGGAGGCCAAGGGGTATGAACAAGGGGTATGTACTTCCACCCTTAGACTCCAGGCTTGCTCTCTCTAAGAATCCATGCGCCGGCCCATTGGCACGGCCCCGCGCACGGGAGTTGGCAGCCTTCAATCGGTGAGCTCTCCGCGGACTTTGGTGGGCGGGTCGACCCTCAAATGCTTGTGGTTTTTCATGGTATTCACTTCGCGCATGCGACCCTTTGCGGACTTTTGATGGGGCGACCTTAAAACAAACTCCGGCTCATTTTTTTATTTATTTTTTTTCGAGCTTGCGCAAGCATCAAGAGGTGAACCCTCTGACCTTCGGTGTCTTGAGCTTCGAAACCTCCGGTGTTTCTCGATTTCGCTTTGCTCGAACCCGCTGCACGCTTTGCGCGGGTCGACATTGAGTAAACAGAAAAACAAGTAAAAGAGAGAAACAGATAGAACAAGAGGGGAACAGAGATAAAGGAAAGAAAGAAAGAAAGAAAAGAAAGAAAGAAAGAAAGAAAGAGAGAGAGAGAGAGAGAGAGAAAAAGAAAGAGAGAAAGAGAGAGAGAGAGAGATCGGCTTTGCCGAGCTAGAGACTTCCAATCGCCGGCTCTGGGTACTCAATAAGAGTGATGATAAAACCGAGAACACCATGGTGGGAGCACAGAGATGGGTATGGGCCAAAATTAAATCACCAGGATATGGACTAATTTTAGTCCTTGTTTCCATTTACCCCCCCATTTTGGGGTCACCCTATGTTTGACCCACCGCCAGATCGCTGGCTTCAGAGGTTTGCACGCCTCCGGTCCAAATCTCCCGCGAGGGGCCCTACACCTCGGATGTCCGGGCCGCGCTGGTGCAGTGCCGCGCCTTTCAGGCGACGGCTTCTCCTTCCAAGCGGATTTCCCTGGCATCTCCGAATGCCCGTATAACCCCCCCCCAAAAAAAAAGAAGAAAACAAAACAAAAGAAAGAAAGCAAGAGGAACCACATGCAAAGCAAACAGGATTTACGAGGCCGAATTCGGCGACTTCGAGGAACAGAAAGTGGGGGTGTTAGGGGGTTCGCGCCCAAACGATTCCCTTGAAAAACCACATGCGTTTGGCTCTATGGACCTCCTAAAATGCCTCCGGATTCTTTATGAAACACCCCAAAAGAGGCTGCAAAGCAAGCCGGCGCGCAAATCCGTGCCATTTTGATATGGGTCAAAACCAATCCAAGATATGCACCGCAGGTTAAATCGTCCTTGGTTGCACCAGGGCAGCCCATTTTTGGACTACACCATCACCTGGAACCCCAAAAGACCAAATCTAAATAGTCGTCCAGAAGTGGGACATGTGAGAACGGCCGTTTGCTTCAAACACGGCCGTTTCAGGAGAGTCGGATGACTGAATTTTCAAGATTTTGTGCGGCACTTCAGCCGCAGCCCCTTTTCTGCGAACGCTCAAAGAATAACGCAAAATCTTTCCTACTGCGTCCAGAACCCATGATCGATGGCGCATGCCAGCTTTCGAAAGCGTACCAGGGTTCGACTGATCCAACAATTGTCCAATTCAAAGCTCTTTGATGTGAAGCTCTCTTGGCCTTTCTCCTCGCGCGCAATCAGTTCTGCCATTTGATACGCAGCCTGCTCTCGAATAATGCTTCGAAGGCAACATATTGTTCGAAAGCTCCTTTTCGGAAACATCGAAAAGGCCTCTTTGGAACCCCTTTTCCTGGAACCCCAAAAGACCAAATCTAAATAGTCGTCCAGAAGTGGGACATGTGAGAACGGCCGTTTGCTTCAAACACGGCCGTTTCAGGAGAGTCGGATGACTGAATTTTCAAGATTTTGTGCGGCACTTCAGCCGCAGCCCCTTTTCTGCGAACGCTCAAAGAATAACGCAAAATCTTTCCTACTGCGTCCAGAACCCATGATCGATGGCGCATGCCAGCTTTCGAAAGCGTACCAGGGTTCGACTGATCCAACAATTGTCCAATTCAAAGCTCTTTGATGTGAAGCTCTCTTGGCCTTTCTCCTCGCGCGCAATCAGTTCTGCCATTTGATACGCAGCCTGCTCTCGAATAATGCTTCGAAGGCAACATATTGTTCGAAAGCTCCTTTTCGGAAACATCGAAAAGGCCTCTTTGGAACCCCTTTTCGAAAGCAACCTTTCGAAAGCCGCTTTCAAACCCCCTCTTTCAAAAACCTCCATTTGAAACACCCCTTTGAAAGCCTATTTCGCACTTTCAACCCCCCCTTTCGCAAGCCGCCTTTCGAAACTTTCTTAGCGCCCGCCTTCGAAAGCCCCCCCTTTTTGAAAGCCCTTTTTGAAAGCCTATTTCGAACCTTTTTTCGAAAGCTACGTTTCGAAAGCGACCGGGCAAAATTGAATTCGATGCCGATCAAACACAATTTGAGATCCGAAAAAAACGCGGCTTTTTGAATCTGGGCGTTTGCATGGGTAAGAATGGGCGTTGCACGGGTAAGAATGGGCGTTGCACGGGTAAGAACAGTTGTTTCGAAAAATCAATTTCGACCAACAAAAACGGTGATTGGCCAATCAACCTGAGCTCGAATGCGACAGACCCAGGATGGTTCGATCGAAATACGTTCTTCGAATACGCAGCGTTCAGGTATGCATCTGTACCAGTCGAAAAAGGGCAGTTCTTTATTTTCTGCATGGGACCCTTTCAACATCCAGAATCTAAAAGTCGAAGCTGTCCTACTTAACTACAGCTGACTCACTGCAATCGGTGTTGTTGTTTTTTTTGGTGGTGTCCGAAAGTACATGTTTTCTAAGCCGCGGGTTTTGGGACAACAGTAAATTTGCTCGTTTTGGGTACAAGCCCCGCGGTTCACTATTTCAGTGCAACGTTGGCATGACTTTTGCATGCGAGCATTGAAGAAGACACTTTGCATGGCCTTTTACCAAATATGATTATTTTCGGTTCGCAGTTTTAGCATTGAAGAATCTTTGGTCCCCACCGAAGGAACCTATGCGCGTCATCCATATTGGCAAACACATGGCGACAAACTGAGGTTTCCCGCTTCTTTTGTTGTGCTCTTAATTTGTCATATGGACTTACTACTATGCTTAGGCTGGGCTACAAGTCATTTTACCGTCTGTGAATACATGGCAGATTCTGCTGCTTTCCTGTCAGCCACCCTGGTCCGGCCAGTTTCGGGCGAAGTGAGTCAAGAACGGCCGTGAGACAAAGCAACCATTTATTTTTAGTCGTTTCAGGCCCCAGGTTCGAAAGCAACCTTTCGAAAGCCGCTTTCAAACCCCCTCTTTCAAAAACCTCCATTTGAAACACCCCTTTGAAAGCCTATTTCGCACTTTCAACCCCCCCTTTCGCAAGCCGCCTTTCGAAACTTTCTTAGCGCCCGCCTTCGAAAGCCCCCCCTTTTTGAAAGCCCTTTTTGAAAGCCTATTTCGAACCTTTTTTCGAAAGCTACGTTTCGAAAGCGACCGGGCAAAATTGAATTCGATGCCGATCAAACACAATTTGAGATCCGAAAAAACGCGGCTTTTTGAATCTGGGCGTTTGCATGGGTAAGAATGGGCGTTGCACGGGTAAGAATGGGCGTTGCACGGGTAAGAACAGTTGTTTCGAAAAATCAATTTCGACCAACAAAAACGGTGATTGGCCAATCAACCTGAGCTCGAATGCGACAGACCCAGGATGGTTCGATCGAAATACGTTCTTCGAATACGCAGCGTTCAGGTATGCATCTGTACCAGTCGAAAAAGGGCAGTTCTTTATTTTCTGCATGGGACCCTTTCAACATCCAGAATCTAAAAGTCGAAGCTGTCCTACTTAACTACAGCTGACTCACTGCAATCGGTGTTGTTGTTTTTTTTGGTGGTGTCCGAAAGTACATGTTTTCTAAGCCGCGGGTTTTGGGACAACAGTAAATTTGCTCGTTTTGGGTACAAGCCCCGCGGTTCACTATTTCAGTGCAACGTTGGCATGACTTTTGCATGCGAGCATTGAAGAAGACACTTTGCATGGGCCTTTTACCAAATATGATTATTTTCGGTTCGCAGTTTTAGCATTGAAGAATCTTTGGTCCCCACCGAAGGAACCTATGCGCGTCATCCATATTGGCAAACACATGGCGACAAACTGAGGTTTCCCGCTTCTTGTGTTGTGCTCTTAATTTGTCATATGGACTTACTATTATGCTTAGGCTGGGCTACAAGTCATTTTACCGTCTGTGAATACATGGCAGATTCTGCTGCTTTCCTGTCAGCCACCCTGGTCCGGCCAGTTTCGGGCGAAGTGAGTCAAGAACGGCCGTGAGACAAAGCAACCATTTATTTTTAGTCGTTTCAGGCCCCAGGCAGGGAACCGGATTCCATGTTTGGTTTCATTTACCAGGGCAACCCATTTTGGGCACCCTCCCACCAACGAAGGTCCCTTCAAAAGGAAAACTTTCCAATCCAGGACCCCTCGAACGTCAGGTTCCACGTGAATTGCTAGGGTACCCAAACCAAGGTGAATCAAAAGGGCAATCGGCCGCAATCTGGCGACTGCCCCCGACTCTCCCCCCAAGTTTTGATTAGAAGCTCCGCCAAAAGTCCCCCTTCACTCCCATCTCAGATCGGGGCAAAACCTGTCGGGTTCCCGCCAAGTGGGACGAGAGCTGCCTTTTGGATGGAGGGGTAGGTTGGTTCATTCGTTCATTTTTTTTTATTAAACAAGATTCCACAATAAATCCGCACCACTTTTGGATGGACGCCACCCACTCGCGACCCCCGCGAATTCGCGCGGACTGCGCGAGGCTGCGGGCCACGGCGGCTGGCCGCAGCTCCGGGGCCTCCTGGCAGAGCTGAGGCAGCGGAAGCGGCGCAGGCGGCGGAAACAAAACCGGGGAGGGGGGGGCCTTGGCGAGGATGGGTAGTTGATATATATATATATATGTCATATATATATGTATATGTGCATATATACTTGGTTGGGCTCCTTTTTGCTTGTGCTCTTCTGTCCTTTTTGGCCTTGGGGATGCTTTCTGAAAAAGTTGAAAGCCGCGATGCGCTGGCGGATGGCTTGATGGCATGGGTTTTCAGAAAGCTGATGAGGACGAACTCGAAAGGAGTTTTGCTGTTATTCTTGAGGATGTGGCGAAACAAATGCAGGCAGTTGTCGGGGCAGAGGGAACTGAAGATCGACGAAAGTGCATACAAGGTTTCCGCCAATTTCCGCTATCCAAATGCAGATTTGGCGTTGTGCATTCTGATCACGAAGTTCATTGCAGGATGAAAGAGCCGTTCCACATTTGCTTGTTTGTCTGTGCCTTTTGTTTTAAGAGCGGGTATACGGCTCAGCGGAAATGATGGGTAAACCTCATTGAGAGTTGCTTGGTCTTCCCCACTCTGCATGGACCATCACTTCATTCCCGCAGTGCGATTCACTCATCAAATGTTGTAACTGGTTTGGATGATGTCAAAGGAAGGGACCCTACTGTAAGGAGCAAATTGCGCTCAAAACCACACCCTCTCGTTCCGGTAGTGAGCGGGCTCATTTCCTAGACCTTGAGAACCATCCTGGACTGCGGTAATGAGTGGATGTTTTTCCACTTGCAATAGGGAAGCTCCTTTGAAGCGAAAACGTTATCGATAAGGGGCTTCCATTGGTAGCACAGAGTGGTTGCAATTTCCACCAGCCGATTCCCATAAAGCCATGATCTTTCGGATTCCGCGTAAGTCTTCAGGCGCCCTAAAGAAGGCCCGGTGTTTTGCCACTCCATTTGGCTCGCCTTGCAGGCGGAGCAGCGAGGAGGCGGCCAATCACGTTGATGGTATCTTGGCAGGAGTTGGAGTTGACCTGTCGGAGGCAAAGGACTTACTGAAAGTGCCGAAATAGTTAGAGTCAGTTAGAGTGGGCTTGTGGGGTGCTCTTAAACCAACTCTTGCTTCATGATCGTGGGGGAATCACGAGCGTCAGTATTCAGCCCTTACATTACCCTACCATCAAACATGAAAGTGCACAGAACGAATTTGGAAGCTTACTGTCGTTTTGGGAGAAGTGCCGAGTGTGCCGTGTTCGGAGTGTTGATCCTGGACCTACCAATTACTTTAGCGTGCTCCCAGAGGATGTCTTCTAGAAACGGATACCCATATTAATCTCATTTCTGGGTAAGAAGGCTGCATCTTGGGTTCACGTTCGGAACTAGGTCCGACTTCGCCGAGAGCTTTGTTGGGATGCTTGGTGCACAAGCCTCCAGACTCCAAGGAAGACCGCGACTCGCCAGCTCGCGTCACAGCTCGACCTTCGACGCCGATGCGAGGCGTCTACTGCAAGCTGCTGCAGGGCCGGCTGCTGCGGGCCTCGCGTCAGGCGCTGGCGGCGCTGAAGGCTTCCGAGCCTGGCCGAGGGTCACCCAGCCGCAGGCGAAGGGCGGGAGGGGGTGCATGGGGGGGGGGGGGGGGGGAGGATTCGGTAGATTGGTATGCTTCATGCCGCAGGTAAGCTGGTTCGGTATGAAGGAGTTACATTGATCAACATGGCATTGACCAGTCCGAATCAGCCAGCTGCGTCACACACACACACACACGCACGCAAGTTATGTTGTGTGTGTGTGTGTGCGTGGAGAGAGAGAGAGAGAGAGAGAGAGAGAGAGAGAGAGAGAGAGAGAGAGAGAATGAGTGCGAGTGTGAGGGTGCGTGTGTGGGTGATCTCCACGAGAAGACTTTTTCATTCCTGATGAGTTGGTTTAGCAAGAATGCTATCACTTGCAGAAAGGCACGCACATTTGAGGCAACACACAGCGTCACACTGACGTGGGGCATTTTGTACTGTATTGCTTTGATGGGAGGGCGCAGAACCACTTGCCATATTATGCAGGACAACCAACCCCAAAGGCTGTCAATCAATACGCCATTGTTAAAGGACTCCGTCTGTGAATTTGTGACTTCGTATTCCCCCCCCCCCGCCCAGTCTGTCAACCTCTTGCCCATGACTTTCTAGCTCGCACTTGGCCAGGACTGTGGCAAGGAAAGGGGCAGCCAAACGAATGAGGCTCAGCTACTGAATTCTGACTTCGCTTGGCACCCGCCATGCTGAGGGCTCCTTGGCTATCCGATGGCCGGTCCCACCTTCCGGTGTGGCAGCATGGCTCGCCGGAAAATTGCCAAAGTCCGCTTTCGGACAAAAAGAGCCAAACTGGCGACGCGTTTGGGCGCAACCTTGGCCAAACCCAAGGCGCTGCCCATAGAGCGCAAGCGCCGTGGGTTCAGACGCCAGCTGGCGCAAAGCACCCTTAAAGCAAGGTGCAGCCCGTTGCCGCAGAGACTTCTTCCCTCGAGGGGAGAAGAATGCGCATTGGGTATGTTTCCAATGAGGCAGACATGCCGTCAGGGAAAGGGTGGCTCTCCCAATTTCAGCTTTCCAGTCAGAGGTTTGCTTGCCAATGTGGGAAGCCACTCTAGGCACCTGAGAACTGGAGTGCATTGGATGCTATGACGCCCATGGGACATGGGCCTACGGCGAACTCTTTGCTAAGCCAATGAGCTGTGAGTGGCGCGTCGAACATGATGCTTGCCACAGGTTTTGTTGTGCACAGGCAGAAGCGACTGGAAGAGAAAGAGAGAACCAGCGAGGGTGACGGAAGGCAGAGCTGCTGACTGTAACTACTTGGATGATTCGTCGATTCCGGCGATGCTGACGAACTTCTTCAGTCTGGTTTCTTGCCACCAATGATGTGTACCCAATCCGCAAACTGACCTCAAGGATCTGGGAGAACGATAGATTTTCTCTTTTTTTTGGTCTCCTTCTTTGGAATCCCAAGCATTCCAAGCGCCGGGCCGGTATATGTTGACGAGGACTGCGTTTGTGGAGTCCATTGCGACAAAGGGTTGAAACTAGGAGGCGATTTGAACCAAGCAATCAACCTGAAGGATAATGAATGCCCTGAGCTACAGAGAGGGACTGAAATCATTTGGCTGTGTTTGCCGAAAACCAAAAGGCAACATGCTAGTGGGAGGCCTAGCGTTGTACAGTGCTAGCATGTAAACCCTTCCGCAAATCCATTTGCTGAACAGCTCACTGTGAATTCTGATGTTCTGGGATCCATATGCTCTTTGACTTGCCAGGTACCATAGAAGTTTGTGCAGCGTTCTGAGAGAAATTCCGGAAAGCCTCTGACAGCAACATCTTTTGGTACTATTCTTATGCCTTCGATAGTTTTTCCTGGGAATTGCAAGGGGGCTAGGCACTCTTCGAGCCGTAGGCCCCAAGGCACGGAGTTTCGCGGCATGGAATGCTCTGACATGGCTGTGGTGGTCAAAACCGTTGTGGTTGATCCCATTTTGGTTGGTAGGTGAATTCACTGAATTCACCACCCATTTTAGAACCTATATTAGTGGTTGGATTGGTTGATGTTCACTGGGGGTACGATTTGGATTTTGAAAAGTACATGGCCACATGACACCAGCGGCCCAGCGCAAAGATGGGCCGGGTATCAAAAGGTCACCCTTTTCGCCCGCGCAGGGCCCGATGGACCCTTCTTGCCGGAGGACCCAGCATGGAAGTCTCACACTTTGAGCGTTCTCAAAAGCAAACTGCGAACATGGGGGGAACCCATGAAGCAGTTCTGATACGGAGTGGCACTTCGGAAGATCAAGCACCAAGTGAGAATTTACTGGCACCGGGGTGCAAAATCCGTAATTATCCATTTCTGCAAAGCATGCAAGGCTCACATGAGTTCGGACTCCACTGCCATTCTTGCAGCAGTTGTTACAACCCCTCGATTCCATGATCAAAAAACAGAAGCTTTGTTACATGTGGATATGTATGTATATATATATATATATATTTGCGCACATGCATATTAAAAATACACACGCGCTTGCTCCTACATATAGAGACTATGCCCATTGAACCGCTTGAAATCTCGTCAGTCGAACGCGAACTCTGCATTTTAGTCCAAATTCTGACTCAGCAGAATTCAAACTCTTTGTGTGACGCCTCGAAGTCGGGGGCCCCATACTTTGGGGCCTTGGGATCAGTTGCAAGCCAACCCGGGCTCAGCTTGGTTCCAGTTCGCTGTGTTCAAGACATTGTTTTCAAAGACACCGGGCACCACGTAGTTGTGTTCTAAATGTTCACTCGGTCTTGTTAAAGGTTTGTTCGCTTTGAACATTTGTTTGATTGGGGGCAACAGTTGGGCTAGCATTGTGCCAGCGAGAGCAGAAAGAGGGCATGTTTGTGACCTCGCAATCGACTTGGCACCCGCAGCTGAAGTTTGTGTCTGAGTCGGCGTATATCCCGCGACCTGGGGCCTTGCCCATCAGAATTTGTTTGTTTCATTCACTGAGCAAGGCGAGCGCATATGTCAACATGGCTCAAGGCAGAGGATCGCACCACCCCTGATAAGACCACATCAGCTGGATGCAGTGACCCACGACCCGGAGCTTCATGCAAGGGTCGTTGATTGGGCAGTTTCTCTGATTTGTGTCATTGCTGTTTTTGCTCGAATCAAGGACTCGGGTTTGGGCCATGCTTCCTCACCAGATTCTGTCTCATTCTCCGAGGCGAACAACCCGGGCAACGATGGCCAAAGCTTTCAACAACTTCAATCTTGCCACCAGCGTGTGGTTGGTTGACCTTTGACAGGCCGGAGCTCCCTGCTGCAGTCAGAGCTCAAGCCCGCGCCAGAGGCAAGGGACAGAATTGGCGGTGCTCATTTGTTGTGTGCATCAGTATCTACTTGGCCAGTCAAAGCGAATACATACATCCATTCATCCATCCATTGATCCATCCTACACACATATATATATATATGTATAGATACACATGCACGTACACATCCACGTAAGCATGCACGTACACAGACACGTACAGGTACACTTACGCATGCACATACACACACATACATAGACACATACATACACACATACATACATACACACACACATGCCAGAAAGACAGAGAGACAGAGAGACAGAGAGACAGAGACAGAGACAGAGACAAAGACAGAGATAAAGACAGAGACGGAGACAGAGACAGAGACAGGGACAGAGCAGAGACAGAGACAGAGACAGAGACAGAGAAAGAGACAGAGACAGAGACAGAGACAGAGACAGAGACAGAGACAGACAGACATAGCAGCACAACACCATACAAAACAATACAATGCAAAACACAAAAAGCAAAGCAAACAATACACACATGCATGCGGACACGCTCACACATGTGCACACACACACACACACATGCATGCATGCATGCATGCATGCATGCATGCATGCGCATGTACACATGTACACGTACACACGTACACGTACAAGCATACGTGCGTACAAACATACACATACACGCGCACACACACACACATACAAACAAACAAAAAAAACAAACAAACAAGCAAACAAACAAACAAGCAAACAAACAAACAAACATACATACACACATACATACATTCATGCATACATACATACATACAAACATACATACATACATACATTCATGCATACATACGTACGTACGTACGTACGTACGTCGTACATACACACATACATACACACACATACACACATACAAACATACACACATACATACATACATACATACATACATACATACATACATACATACATACATACATACATACATACATACATACATACATACATACATACATACATACATACATACATACATACATACATACATACATACATACAGACAGACAGACAGACAGACAGACAGACAGACAGACAGACAGACAGACAGACAGACAGACAGACAGACAGACAGACAGACAGACAGACAGACATACACACATACACACATACATACACACATACATACACACACATACATACATACATACAGACAGACAGACAGACAGACAGACAGACAGACAGACAGAGACAGACAGACAGACAGACAGACAGACAGACAGACACAGACAGACAGACAGACAGACAGACAGACAGACACACATACACACATACACACATACACACATACACACATACACACACATACACACATACACACATACACACATACACACTTACACACTTACACACATACATACACACATACATACACATACATACACACACATACATACATACATACATACAGACAGACAGACAGACAGACAGACAGACAGACAGACAGACGGACAGACAGACAGACAGACAGACAGACAGACAGACAGACAGACAGACATACACACATCCATACCTCCATTGACACATCCATGCATCCCTGCATCCATACCTCCATACATCCTTGCGTCCATACATCCATACATTCATACATCCATACATCCATACATCCATACATTCACACATCCATACATCTATACATGCATGCATACATGCATACATGCATACATGCATACATGCCTACATGCATACGTACATACATACATGCATACATGCATGCCTGCAAACATGCATACATGCATACATGCATGCATGCATGCATGCATACATGCTACATGCATACATGCATACATGCATACACACATACACACATACATGCATGCACATGCGTGCGTGCGTGCGTGCGTACGTACGTGCAAGTCATTCAGATCCCACTGCTTACCTCCGAATGTGAAGGTTCCAGTCAACAATTCCAAGCCACTCAACATCATCACGTGCAAGATTAACGCACGAAACAACAATGGCAAGGCGTTGATAGTGAGCAGACTTGCATTATTTGTTCTTTGTTTTTGCGTTGATACCGTTGATTTGCTTGCCTTGAGAGCTGGCCAGTGGCTCTGGTGTTCACAGATCCGCAGGTCTTGGCTGCCTACCTCGAGCGCCTGCCCAAGGCGGAAGTCTTTGTCAAGTGGCTTCGAAACCAATCGAACTCAACTGTTTCGATTGCATGTCCAAGCGCTTGCATGTCTGTTGCGATTGAAGGGTTGAACGTACTTCTGTAAAAATGCTCCAACATATGGCAAGCGTTTGCTCCCATTGCTAAGCAAATTGAACTTGCTGAGCTCTCTCTCGCCTTTGCGCCCAAAGTGTGAAGTGACACGGTGGGCTCGCCTCATGGGTGGATTTGAGCACTGAGTAAGACGTGCATCCACAGGTGGCACGTGTACAAGCTGCTTGGACCTTTGATTGCTGTAGGCTTTTGAGGGGCCATGATGTTTGAGGAAGTTCGGCCACCAGCATTTGGGCGGCTCAGTTCATCCATGGTTAGATACGTGAGTGGATGTGGACATGACGTGGTGATTGAATTGCGTTTCTCAAACCGGTTGAACTTCTCCACAAGTAATGTGTGCACCGGACTGGGATTTTCTTCACAAAGGGGAAATTGCACCCCAACGAACTAAAAGGGCGCTTCCCTTTTGATTTGCCCTTCACGTCGTTTTGGGGCGGAATCAACAAGTTCCAGCCTGCAACTTCTCGGAATCTGGTCAGTCTGGCAGCTTTGGTGTTCATAACGAGCGTGACGCACGTGCCAGAACACCGAGTGTGCAGCCTGAGCTTGTGGCTTTGAGTTGAATGACATCGCCGATTCACACTTGAGGGTTTTCCGTGCTGCCTAGGTGCCTTGCGACCTCTTTTAAGGCGGTGTCCTTCCCCAGTAGGCATACCCTTCCTCCGAGCCGAAAAGAGCAACGGCTTTTTGTTTTCTGCTTGAGATTCGTTCTCAAAATGACCAAAACCACACAGGGAATCGATTAGCTTTCCTTTGGTTATCCTTTACCAGTCACCAGCTTTCTACCCTTCCGGGGATTTCGGAGTCACCTGTCGTTTGTCCCCGCCCCGCTCGCGGATCCCGGATGCCGCCGGATGGTACGCGGGGACGTGCAACTTCGGAACCTGAGGGGTGACCTGGCGTCCCGCGTCGAGTCGGCAGCTTTTCGATCGCTGGAAACCCTATGGAAAGCCCTAGTTCGCATTAGCCTCGCTTTTCAGACATGGGTTCTTTCTTGAGGACCCGACTTTTCACTTCTCAGCATTGGAGTTTCAGCACGGCTCTCACATATGGGTCAAGTTGTACCAAACAAACTATATGGTGAGGGATCGAAGATTTTGACCCAAACAAACATGTGTTGGCATTTGCAAAGGGACCAAATTCCCGTGAAGGGTTTGGTCTCGGCTGAGGGGGCTGGGTTGTAATTGCATGTTCGACTGTTTTGGTGCAGAACCCGATTCCTTTTGAATTGAAGTTGAGTTCCTGTTTCCTGCCTCTAAGCTATTATATTTTGTAGACAAAGGATCATTTGTGTCTGTGTGTGTGTGTGAGAGCTGTCTGTCCAACCCCCGCACACAGCACTGCCAGTTTCTATCAGGGTGGTCGTGAGATGTTGGCGCAAAGTGTCGCTTGTTTCATGCAGGCCCATTAATGCCTTGATATGTTACACAGAGCATATACTGGTGCAGAGCCGACTCGCAAGGGGAGCCATTGCAGCCCAGTGACTGTTAGTGGGTAATGGTGACACATAGGGGCCATCTAGGAAAACCCATGGCTCCCCTTGCGAGTCGGCTCTGAATCAGTGGAGTAGAACGCTGTTCACATGGTGGTCATAAGTTTGCAGCTTGGCTTCGAAATTGATCCGGTCGTGAGTCCAATGCTTGGCACCCTCTTTGCCCCCTTGCGGTTGGGTGTAGACATCTTGGTAAAGTACCCCTCCCTTCAACCAAGTTGAAGCTGACAGAAAGGTGTGGCTCATGCAAGGCCATGCTCCTTTGCAAGGGGAGCATTGGCAGGTCCATGTTGGTGGAGTCATTCGTCATGGAAGGCATGAAAAGTCACCGGATTCTTGAGGGATATTTTTCTTTGCGGACAGTCAAGGTTTATCATCTTGCGAGACTTTCTCTCATCTGACGAGGAGCAGGCTGGGATCTTGAAGCTTCCAGCTGTTATATCAGCTGCGATACTCACGCGGAATAGCATCAAACATGCTTGGCAGACGTAAGTCCCCATATAAACGATGTGCACTAAAGCGTCCGCATTGAATCACTCCACATTGTTTATCATGCACAATCAGCACGGTCCACCTCAACAATTCAGCTTGAGCCATTACCACTTGAAACGTGTATACGCATTTGCATGCTCAGTTCTGTTGTTGCGTGTGAATCAGTTGCACGTGCCTGGATGATGGTGGTGGCGATGTGCATGTCGTTGTTGATAGATGTGATTGCAGCTACGGCCTCCACGACGAAGGTTTAATACTGGCAGGCTTAAAAGTGTTCGAGGGCCAGCGTGTAAGGTTTCACTGCTGCCTTTCAATGATGGTGCAGCCAAATGGCAAGCCAAGAGGGACTGTTGTGGTGGTTGAGTAGGCTCGAACCTCAGACACATTTGGTGGATGGCATGAACATGACTTGAGAAAAAAAGAGCAAGGCTGGGGGCCAAAATGCCCGCATTCCAGTTGCAAGAGGGCCCTTTTGAAGAGTTTAGCATTTCTTCATGCGCGCGGTCAGGTTGGAAGGTGGATATGTTCACGAAACGTGGTTCAGGAACTTACACGAATGCTTCTCAGCTAGAGGTGCACTGTGAGGGAGCCAGCCAGGACAATTCTGGTTGAATATATTGCTCAAGTCATGGTGTATATTATTGATTGCGTATGCTGAGTTGTACTAGTTGACTAGTTAACTATTTAGTTAAATTAATTAGTGAAATTAATCAATTAATTAGTGAATTTATTAGTTACTTAAGTGTTCAATTCGGAGGGCCTTCTGGAATCTAACCGCACTTATACCACCCGCAAAAGGGGCCTGAAATGCGCCTGAAATGTACTGCCAGGATTTGAGTGCTCAATGCAGGCAAGTTGCAGGTCTGACACTGATGCACGTTCCTGTTTGTCCAAGTTTCTGCTTCAGTGAACGGAACCATTGATGGAACGGCGCTTTTGTCCCATTCCCCATTCGGGTGTTTTAATGCGCTTCATGTTACTCGGGATCTGAGACAGCCTTTCTTCCTGACGTCCGACGTGCGTGCTTGCACGCTTGACGTGACTGAAGGCGTTGGTGCGCGAGATCCATGGACAGCGTTGGCTGGACAAGGCGAACAGGGCTTCTTGGAGTGTTGGGCGTCCCATCTGCGCTTCCCAGCATGGCCCAAAATGCTGCACACAAACACGGCTATACATTGCCAGGGGCCCTCCTTCAAAGGTTGGCGGACATAATCGCCATGTAATTTCGGACCTGTTGGAAGAAAGGTGTTTGATCAGCAAGCCTAGTGTGAATGTGAGAAGTACGAATGCCAAGCTGGCAACGCCAGTATGGGTCTCGAGACTCAAGACCAGCTAAATTCAAGGGACAAAGTCACTAGGATGTCTTCACTGGCGTGTTGGGCTCACTCTTGTTCCAGTTGGCGTCAACATTACTTGGAGCATCTCCCGCCATTTCTCAGGGCGGCCCGCAATCTTTCAATCATCTCTTGCTGATGGAAAGAATGAGGAGGTATGCAAGCTACTCTTTTGTTCAGTGTGCTGTACTTTGACTCTGCTGGGCTGAATGTTGACATTTGCCAGACCCTGTACCTTCCTGGTTCTGGCCACGCGCGTTGTCTTGGGCATGTGGGATTTAGCTACTTACGCTTATATTAGCACCAGTCACTACATCCAGTACCACTTTTCATATGCAACTACAGCAACGAATCGCAACATTTGAGGCTGGAGGTGATCGCCTTGCTTTCGATGAAGACCCCAAACCAGTGTGACATGCAATTTCCTGAGCGGTCACGAAGGCCTTTCAGAATTGAGGAGGCTATCCAGACTCTTGGGCCCTTGTAGCAATGCAGGGTCACTTGCGCTTCAGCAACACCCGGCAGCAGGACTCGGGGGGTGACTTTTAGGCTGCGGCAACCCCCCGAGGAGTTTCTACGCAAAACGACCAACCTGAATATTGTTGGAAGGGGACCCTTTCCAGAGGAGCTGGGAGGATTTTCAGAGAATTGGTGGACTGCTGGCCAGGGCCTTTGAGCATTCAATTGTAAGGCCTGCCGTGTCGAACATGCGGGTCCATGTTGGTTTGCTTTGGTTCAAATCTCTGTCTGAAATTGATAAGAATCACTGCTGATGTTTTTCAGAACGTTGCATGGCACATGAGCAGCGATTAAACGTCCTATGAAGAAAGTCAGTCTTGGGGTGCCGAAACGGGCTCGCGGAAGCTTCAGCTAAACTGCAGTATGTTTGCACCAATTGTGTTTGTTCTGCTTGTGTGCTTGGCTGCTTGCTTGCTTGCTTGCTTGCTTGTTTGTTTGTTTGTTTGTTTATTCCCCAGATAGCTGAAAGCGATTGACGGCTGGGTGCTAGGGGGCATGCAGTCTGTGGTGCTGGTGCAGGTGCTGTTTGGGGCGATGATTGAGGTGCTTGTGACGAGCGGGCGAATTTTGCAAATATGACGGCAAGGTGCTAGGGCATGCAGCTTGGGTGCTGGTGCAGGTGCTCTTTTGGGGTGCTGGTGACGGTGCGGGCGCATTTTTGCAACATTGACGGCAGGGTGCTAGGGGGCATGCAATTTGGGGTGCTTGTGCAGGTGAAGTTGGGGTAGAGGGGGTGGGGGCGGGGCCGGGCGCGGGCGCGTGCTTGCGAAATTGACGGTAGGGTTTCTGGGGGACATGCAGTTTGGGGTGCTGGCGCGGGCCTGGTGACGGCACGCGCGCATTTGTTTGCGAGATTGACGGCAGGGTGCTAGGGGGCATGCAGTTTGGGGTGCTGGGTGCGTTTTTGCAAGGTTGACGGCCGGGTGTCTGGGGGGAGGTGCTGGTGTGCAGTCATCGGCCTGGTTTTTCGCTATCTGGGGTCTATGCTGGTGTATTTTTTGTTTGCTTGCTTGCTTGCTTGCTTGTTCGTTTCTCGGTGTTTGTTGGTCTCGTTGCTTGTTTCTTGGTTGATCGGTCCGGGCCTTCGCCTTGGAGGAATACGGACCGCAGGTGTCGGACGCCATGGAGCTCCTGGACGCGCCGCCAGTGACACTTGGCCGGATCGCTGCAAGCAATGGGCATAGATGTGGGTGTTGCTCAAAATTGTGGACCCCTCCAAACAGGTGGTTTCCTTTTGGTTTCCCTTTAAAACCCAAGAAGGGTGCCCTATTTTGAGACACCCCCATGTCCTTGTAAGTTAGTTTGGTTAAAAATAGATTGGTTCCACTGGTTTAGATGGGTGTTGTTCCATTGGGTCATTTGTTTTTCCAACACCCATGACTATGGGGTTCTAGCTTCTAATGAAGGGAAATCAGAAAGCGATTTGCGAGATTGAGGGTGGGTGCCAGTGGGCATGCAGTTTGGCAGGTGCTGCTTGGTGTGCTGTTCGGGGTGCTGTTGGAGCTGGTGATGGCACTGGCCTGTTTTTGCAAGATTGGCGGCAGGGTCAGGGGGCACGCTCCAGAATCGGGCGCTCAATGTGCCCGGTACTGTTGTCCTATACCCGACACTTCAAAGGTCAACTCGAGGGATCTCACCCGAACAAGGGGGCTCCTTCATATTGGATCCCAATGTCACTCCCAGGACCATGTGTGTCCTTGAATCGGGGAACCATAGCAAGAAAAGCAACGAACACATAGTTCAGGAAGGCACCGACGATTTTTCGATTCTCTGTTGCTTTCCGTCTAAGAGAACCCCCCCTTTGAGGGATCTCAGACACTCCAACTGCCAATATTTTAGGAGCACCCGATCAGAAGGTCGTTGGGGACAGGGCAGGACTCGATTTTGCAACCTCCAGTTGCTTGGATCCCACAAGAGGTAAACAGAGTGACAACAAATAGGTTTTGGAGCTGAACAACCGCTTCCTCATTGGGTTGGGTTTCACCCCCCCCACTTCGAGGCCTGCGCCGCTTTGCTGCCGGGCGCTGGCGCTGAGGGTCCGAGATGCGGCCCTGCATCAGGGCATCGAGGCGCGACTGGAGCGCAGGGTCCCAAGCTTCGGATGGGACAAGTTGGGGTTCAAATCTTGCTGGGGTCTCTCTTAGGATTTTACATCAGGTTTATGGACTAGAGTCTAGCTTTGACAGGGGGACAGGAGCTCTGAGTCTTGATTAGTTGGCTATGAACGTTTGTCCACTGGCTTGACCGGGATCCCTTGCGGAGGTGTTGGGCAAGCTCGCTTGCCGAAGTTGCCGAAGCAAATGATCATGTCGGTGACACAATATTACTGGCTTACTTGTCGGTGTTGGGTATTTGCTTGAACAGGGTGATGTGTTGCCAGAAATTGAGCTCAATACTCCAGACACATAAAGTTTTGGTTCAAACTAGGGGAACCCCCCAAACAAAATCCATGCTTGTGGGACGGCCTGGAAGCAGCTACGCCTCCTGAGATGTCAGATGATGCCCGTGGATCCATTGGGGCTTGTGCACGAGTTGGTTGGATTGATAGCGGCTAAATTCGCCAAAAGATGAGCAGCGCTCACAATCCACAGCTGGCCAATATGGGGGTTCTGCTCCTCAGTTGAACGTGAAGAAATAAGTCTTGTGAGATATGCAAGTTTTTTGAAGGTCGGACTAAGGCCCCCGGCGCACTTTCATGATTGGTGAAAATCCAGGGTGTCTTGTTTGTTGGGTGGAACGGACCTTGTGCAACTCGGGCGCTCCCGGATCATAGGCCTCCGAATTCCCTCCATTTTGGGAGGCTTCGGGCCTGGGCGGCGACTGCTTCATCCGGGTGAACCTCTATGGCGAAGGCGGGCGGGTTTGGGTTTTAAGATGTGGGTTCCCTGCACACACGAAAATCCTGTCAGCTGCGAGGGTTTTTCACGCAAACCAGTGGCTTTTTGGCATTGGGCCATTCCTCTACGAGTGGGCAAGTCATCAATGGGAAGGCTGTTGCAAACGGCTTGGGATGATGAAATGGCGAGTGCAGAAGCGCCTGTGGAAATCCATTGTCCAAAGACTGCCAAGCTGTGTCATGAGATCCCATTCGGGGAGGCTATCAGAGTGTTTTTTTCCTCGGGGGGGATGAATATTCAAACCAATTTTGCTCTGGGCGCGCAGGTGGAAGAGTCCTTAGTTTGCAAGGTAGTTATGATTGAAGCCAATCTGCTTGCGGCAACCCCAAGTTTTGAATCGTCACAAGATTGGCATCTTTCGTGTGAGGTTCATGCTGCACGATCTCTGACCACCCCGTCCTCCTATGCAGTTTCGATGGCCATGTGGACCGGGCCAAATCTAAGCGGGCTGCAAGTTGAGTCGAAGGACACGTGTCCAAAAGTGGAGGTGTGTCTTGCGATTTTGGTGGCTAGCAGTTTTCATGAGCCTCCCAAATGGTTGGACGGAAAGTCCCCACCTAAATGATGCTCACCTAAAGGTGCCGATAAGAAGACAACTCATAGCCAGGTGGGTACATGCACAAGCACATGGACTCCAAGAAGTGCTTTGGGCCGGTGATCGCCTGCTGCTCTCTGCTGTCGGACTGGCCCGCAAATCGGCAGATCGGGCTTTGCGGATCTTCGCGGGCGAAGGAGTCGTTCCACGGAGATTGAGTTTAACTTACCGCCAGCATTACTACACAAGTCCCTATGGATGCCCATTCTGCTTATGAGTTGATGTGTGCATCATACAAGGGAAACAGTTACAACGAACGTGCTTGGTGCGTTGATGTGCATGTGTGTTTCCAGGGAAAGGCTCCAGGGCCGCGCAGATCAACGGACGGTATTGCTTGTGTCATGCGATTTTGCACATCGGCCATGAGACATTCGGCGGGACGAGGATGCCACCATGACCTTCTATGACACCGGCGGCAGTGCCTACGGCTTGGCCAAAGTCCTGCGCACGGCCACGGCACGTGTGCCCAGCGATGCAGAAGAGGGTACCAAGTGAGCTGCGGTTGAAAGACTTGGCGACTGGAAGGATACGACAGTCAGACTTGAAGGACGATCTGATCTGTTAACAAAGACGCTGTGCGACTAATTTAGTGAGCAATGTTTGTTCCCGAAACAGAGTTTTGGGCGTGACAGGTTGGTGAGGCACTGACGGCTTTTCTGTGGACCCGCTCCGCCAAATTGCTTGTAACAAGCCCATCTACGTCCTTCAGGGGAGTTTTGGTGGCCGTGTTAGCTGCAGGGCAAAAGACTCAAAAGGTCCGCTCGTTTCCACGCCAGCCTGTCATCATACAATGGGTGCGGGTGTGGGTATGTGCTAGAGATTTGTTTGAACACTTTTGCCCTTGCACCGTTTTGCATCACCGCACAAAGATCAAAAAGGTAGTTGGCTGAGTTGGTCGTCGGTCGTCCTCTTGGCTAGCCGCTCGCAACAGTTACGATGTTCGTAGGCCCCCCACCCCCCCCCCCCCCCCTCCGCGAAAAGCAAAAAAAAGAAAGAAGTCATAGTAGATAAAATACATGAATAAATAAGGCCTTGATGACCTGGAATCTATGTGAAGTTCCTCCCCAACTTATGAGAGTTGTTTCTCCCAGACCGTTCGTGCGATCTCAATCACAATGCCCGGGACCCCAACGCACGACGCGAATTCCCTCCGTTCGCCGGTGCCTCTTTGCTCTGTGGCTGAAGCTGTGGGACTCGGCGTCGCCCCGCGAGGTGGCGATTCCGCGCCGGTCCTTGTACTTCATGACAGGGCCCTCCCGGTTTCAGTGGCAGCACGGTATAAAGAAGGCGCGGGTCTTGGATCGGGGGGGGGACAAGGGGACCAGCTGCTCTGTTTCTGACCCAATTTTGGCCCAAGGGTTATTGGGGTGTGCTGTTTTAGAGGGAATCCACTTTTGGGAGAGCACGGAAACATTGCCCTGTCAATCCACGAGGTTGACGCACATGGGCTCTACTAGTAGCTGTTTGCCCCTGGCGCTGCATGGTGTGTGATGCGAGCTGCGCACATGTTTTTTTCGCCCAAGAAGGATTCTAGTGATGGTTAGCCGCCCACAATGCAGATACTGATCCGTGAGCAATGCTTAGCATGGCATGTCATCAATTCCAAATCCACGAGTCCTCTTGCAAAGCTTTGTGGCTGGATGCCGGGACGCGACCGTGTCCCTGATTTAGTCAGTTTGAGACGTCTCAAAGGGAACCCCAGTTGCTCCCTCCCCTTTTGGACGGCCCTGGATGATTCGCCGCGCGCGGCGACTCCAAAGCTTCGCCTTGCCCGAGGAGCACTGCCCAAAGGAGCGGCTCTCGCTCACCTTCCGGAGCCTTTGTGCCGACGCGCCCAAAGCAAAGGTAAAAGCAAAGGCCGCAGGCCGGTGTCGGGGGGGAAGATGGTGCTTTGTTGCCTTCACGCTTGACGGGCTTGTAAGTTGCTGAGTATACGACGTGGTTTGCCTTCGTTTCTGCAAATGCATGTTGCCATTGTTGTTGTTGTTGTTGTTGTTGTTGTTGTTGTTGTTGTTGTTGTTGTTGTTGTTGTTGTTGTTGTTGTTGTTGTTGTTGTTGTTGTTGTTGTTGGTGGTGGTGGTGGTTGTTGGTTGTTGGTTGTTGGTTGTTGGTTGTTGGTTGTTGGTTGTTGGTTGTTGGTTGTTGGTTGTTGGTTGTTGGTTGTTTTGGTTGTTTTGGTTGTTTTGGTTGTTTTGGTTGTTTTGGTTGTTGTGGTTGTTGTGGTTGTTGGTTGTTGGTTGTTGTGGTTGTTGGTTGTTGGTTGTTGGTTGTTGGTTGTTTGTTGTTTGTTGTTTGTTGTTTGTTGTTTGTTGTTTGTTGTTTGTTGTTGTTTGTTGTTGTTTGTTGTTGTTTGTTGTTGGTTGTGTTGTTGTTGTTGTTGTTGTTGTTGTTGTTGTTGTTGTTGTTGTTGTTGTTGTTGTTGTTGTTGTTGTTGTTGTTGTTGTTGTTGTTGTTGTTGTTGTTGTTGTTGTTGTTGTTGTTGTTGGCGTTGCCGTCGCCGTCGCCGTCGTCGCCGTCGTCGTCGTCGTTGTTGTTGTTGTCGTCGTCGTCGTTGTTGTTGTTGTGGTTGTGGTTGTGGTTGTTGTTGTTGTTGTTGTGGTTGTTGTTGTTGCGGTTGTTGTTGTTGTTGTTGTTGTTGTTGTTGTTGTTGTTGTTGTTGTTGTTGTTGTCGTTGTTGTTGTCGTTGTTGTTGTGTTGTTGTTGTTGTTGTTGTTGTTGTTGTTGTTGTTGTTGTTGTTGTTGTTGTTGTTGTTGTTGTTGTTGTTGTTGTTGTTGTTGTGTTTGTTGTGTTTGTTGTTATTGTTGCTTTTGTTGGTTGTTGTTGTTTTTGTTGTTTGTTGTTCGTTGTGTGTTGTTTGTTTGTTTGCTGCTGTTGTTGATGTTGTTGATGTTGTTGTTGGTGTTGTTGATGTTGTTGTTGTTGTTGTTGTTGTTGTTGTTGTTGTTGTTGTTGTTGTTGTTGTTGTCGTTTCCGTCGTCGTCGTCGTCGTCGTCGTCGTTGTTGTTGTCGTCGTCGTCGTTGTTGTGGTTGTGGTTGTGGTTGTGGTTGTTGTTGTTGTTGTTGTTGCGGTTGTTGTTGTTGGTGGTGGTGGTGGTGGTGTTGGTGTTGGTGTTTGTGTTGGTATTGGTATTGGTGTTGGTGTTGTTGTTGTTGTTGTTGTTGTTGTTGTTGTTGTTGTTGTTGTTGTTGTTGTTGTTGTTGTTGTTGTTGTTGTTGTTGTTGCATCCGGCTCGCTCCAGTGTCCCCCCCGAAAGCCGCAACTCCTCTTGGCACGACGCGCGCGACCAGCAATCCTTTGGTGCCTTGCAAACGGAAGGATAATGGGGCTGTGCAGCTGCAGCACGACAGTCACACGCAGCAAGATCCCCAAATCCATCCCCATCCACCCACCCTTTCCATGTGCGAACGCGAGGAGCACCAAGCACTTGAACCAACCGCGCGCAAAGCGGCCCCGGATTTGGCGCCGCGTTAGTTCACACCAAATATGTTGTCCCTGCAACTGTTGGCAGAGGTGCTTACGTTGAGACGCACTGACTAGTTATTTCAGCTAACCCCAATGTCTTAGGCACTGTTCAAGACTTGAAACCTGCGCTATACTGCACCGAAGTCTTCAGCACTTGCAAAGCTTCACTCAGAACCCTTCAGCCATCCGCACTTTATCCGGCAGTTTTCCTGTTTGCGTTCAAATGCCTGGTTCCAGGAATCAAGTTTCCAGTTGGCACTACCCAACACAAACCCAAAACACCATTCGGCACCCGAGATCTCATGTTTGTCCTTGTTGGCCTTGTTTCTGGCCTCAGTTGGACCCCAACAAGCTGTCAACAACTGTGATTCCACATGAAGTATGACGCAGCTTGGTTTGATTTAGTACCCCCAGCCCTTTTCCCAAAATTGAACTGCCGGTTCCTTCTGACTGGGAAGGCGTGCTGAAGCGGCCGGCCAGAATCTCGTGCGGGACATCGCCCGCCGGAAGAAAAGCTGCCGCGTGGGGCGGGCCGGGGCCGAGGGAGTGCGTCTGCAGTGCGGACATATCCAGTGGTCTATGCTCAACTTAGGAGGGATATATGAGGAACTCTCGAAATGGCCCACAAGAAGAATCGGACATTGTCACCTGACCGTCAAAGTGAGCGTTCGGTTTGCTCGTATGGAGTTGAGGCCCAGCGATGCGGGCAGGAGGGATTCTTGACAGGGGAGGCGCCTCATTTGGTGAAGGCACATGCCATCCGACGATGGCTCCTTAGGGATGATCAGTCTTTGTGGCATTGGCTAAATGACGGGACAGTGCCGAGAGGCGGACCCATAACCCTGCAAGGGATCAGTTTCATTTGCGATGCTAGGATGTTGAACACGCGTGCCATTTGGTCGACTTTGAAATAGACGGGGTGCAAAACGAGGCCGTGCGTATTTTTGAGATTCGCAATTAGTAGCATTCTTCGAGGTCCAGTTACACAGGTTGAGTCAAGCTCATTTTAGAGTGCTTCAAAGCAGTTCACTGAAGATCTCAGAGTGGTGGCACTGCAAAACTGACATGGAAAGCACGAGGCCACTAGAATGATTGATACATCCCGCCCGCTTTTGCAGCGCGGACTCTATGGGGTAGGCTCCTGAAGCAGCGAATTGAAGGCCACCCTGCAGAAACTCGACAATCCGACCTTTCGCAGGGGTAACAAACTCACCGTTTAGGAAGACAAGTTGTTTTTCCAAGGCTTTTTATTAGTGCATTGTTTATCGAAGAGTGGTTGTACAATTGCACATGTACACCACGGTTGCCAACCCTCTCTATGACGGTTTTTGTCTACCGCCCTTTGGAAGGACGGGAATTAACAACAAGCTGTTTGGCCTGCAAAAGGCATATCTACAACCACCCCGATTAAAACAACCAACATGACTGGAATTTGTAGAAGCACATACAAAAACAGCATGACTGGAGCCTGTACTGCAAATAGTACCCTTCCTCCCACCAGCATAGCACCTGTGAGAGGGTACCTGGAAGACAATTTCCTCAAGGGACCCTCTGTTAGGAGGGAGGGTGCCCTTCGAATGTCACGCCCCTCGCCATGTTTTTCCCCGGCCACCGGCTTCCGCTTCCGCAGTGCGGCGCGAGGCGCCGGCGGTGTCCTGCCGCGAAGCCTTGCGGCGCCGACTCCAAGACGCTCGCCGGCGCCCGAGGGACGAGTTGGGGCGGGCGGCTGGGAGCGCTTGGGCGTCCAGCCGGGGGGGGGGCGGTTTTTGTGTTGGCTTCAAAAGGCAAAAGCGACCCGCAGATTTGTTTCTTTTTTGTCTTTTTCTTTCTCGCCGGCGCCCGAGGGACGAGTTGGGGCGGGCGGCTGGGAGCGCTTGGGCGTCCAGCCGGGGGGGGGGGGCGGTTTTTGTGTTGGCTTCAAGGGAGCGCTTGGGCGTCCAGCCGGGGGGGGGGGGCGGTTTTTGTGTTGGCTTCAAAAGGCAAAAGCGACCCGCAGATTTGTTTCTTTTTTGTCTTTTTCTTTTGCGAGGCGCGTAGAGCCTGGCTCCAAAGCTTGGCAGTTGCTGGAAACTGTTTGGGGAGAAAAAGTGTAGGTCTTGGAGGTATACATTTCTGGGAATGGGTCAGACCCAGTTGATAGTTTCTTTTGACAATGAGGCAACAAGTGCATCCCATGTTGCTGATCACATTTCCAGAACCAGCGAGGGTTCCGTTGTGTTTGACCTCCGAAAGTGAACCTAGTGCCAATAGTTGACCAACATGCGGCTGGGTTGCCCACCCCGCCCCTTAAAAGATAGGCTTTGGAGTTTTTTGCGGCCCCTTCTCATGGTCCAGGAGTCTCAGGAAGGCCGCAAGGAGGCTAGCCGCATGTTGGAACCAGGCACCGCCCCCGTCATTCACCCAAATGGAATGCCGGAGGCTAGATTTGACCAATCCGCAGGAGCCATGATTCGGGGTGACCTTGATCATTCATTCACTATCTGAACCGGACCGCTGGAATTTTCATAGGCTGTTCACCCAGAGCACAACATATAGCCTGTCGTGTGTGTGTGTGCACCGCAGCGGCGTAGTCTATTGCAGGTTTTCCATGGCTGGTCGTGTATTGCTGGTCTGCAGCTGCTGAACATGGTGTTTTGTCAAATAGAAACCTTGATCACCTGGGCTTTTTGTACAGGATTGCCATAAAACTAGGGGTTGCCCCCCTGAAGCCTGAGGCTTTGCACATCTTGACGCCTTGCTTAGCAGTCCGAGGTCGTTTGTCCATGGCATTCCGTCGCTAGAGCATCGCCATCCAAACGTGCAGCCGTCACAGCCGCGCTCGGGATCTCCACCTAGTGGGATCCTACTTTCGTGGCCACGTTGCCTTTTGTCGGGCGTGCAAGAAGCAAGGCGTCTTCGCCCAAGTGAAAAGCAAAAACAAGGGTTGGCTTCATTTTGTCTCATGCTTAAAGCAGTTTTTCAAGCCAATGGTTGACTTCAATCTGTCGCATGTCTGAAACAGTTATTCAAGAAGTGTTTGGCACGAGTTTCCTCAATCGACAGATTGTCAGCGCCCTCCGGGTGTGCTTCTTCCTGGCCTCAACCCCATAGGAAACTGAGTGTTTAGATGTGCTTTTATTATGGCTGAGGATTTTTTGCTTCAAAGTACTGAAGCTTGTTCAGACGGAGATGAGGAAAACAGTGTTCAGATTCTGATAAGCTGCTTCAAGGGTGAGATACACGCAGACGAACTGCGGAAGCCAAAATAAAGTCCCCAGGCACATGAACCTCCCCTTCTTTGTCAAGAGAAGGCTGACAGGCCGCGGCCGACAGGCCCCGGCCGACAGCGATGTTTGTTGTGACCTAAGTTTAATACCAGTTTCACGACTTCTTCAATACCATGGTTTTACAAAAGCAGCAGACCTGTGGCGCCGGAACTGCAGGGCCTCCGTAGGTTCTTTGTCGCCCGAGGCATTGACCTCGAGTGGCCGGGTGAAGGCAGGCCCCCAGGCCCACAGCTTCCTAAGCTGCCCATGCGGAGATACACGTGTGTATGTAGAATACCTATAGCCTATATATATATATATATGTACATACACATGTCATACAAGTACTACGCGTGTGTTGATTTGTTTTTTTGTGTGAGTCACAATCGAGCCGGGCTAGTAAAGGTTCGTAGGTGCGACCGCCTTTTAATCCTAATGCCAGGTCTTGATTGTGACTCATGCTTATAGACATAGATGTGCAAATAGCTAAATTTGTAAACACATGAGTAAAACTATATGGTACACTGCATAGACCTGCGCCTGGTGCAGCAATACTGCAAAACAAGGTATTGCTGAGCATGTGTGCTCCTTTTGTTTGCTTCTCAATAATGAGGCTCAAACTAGGCACCCCGTAAGAATGGATCTATGGGGCTGGATCCAGGCCACCCCAGAGAAGACTTTGAGGTGTCTCCCAAAAACTTCAATGTGATTTTGGACAACCGTTTTTTTTCCTCCCTGCCGGGTTCCTGGATTCAAGCTCAGGAATTACATTGTGCCAAAGATGTTTTTTTGTAAAAAAAAGAAGAACAAACAACACATGTACATTGTAACTTGATCGCACCCATTTTTGGGACAGGAAAGTCCAGGATTGAACGCGTTGCGCGTGATTGAAGGTTGGGGCGGCCACGGATGCGCTTCTTTGACCACATGCGCAGGAAATAATACTTGATTTTGTTCGCGCAGTATTCGGACCAGTCTTAAGGCTGTGGGCTAAACCAATAGTACCATTTGGGGTAGGTGCACCAGCCATTTTAGTCTATTCAAGTGGGGGTTGGGATGTTCGCTGGGGGTACGGGCTTTTGACCCATGGCATTAAGAGATTGGACGACGAGATATGACAGTCTTCACCTGTGAATGGATTGGCCACGCTCGGGCATTATTCGGTCGCTGAACACGAGGCACAGTGAAACTCAGGCCTGACTTGACCTTTGGACTCCGAAGCAACCCGGCCCCGTGTTCATTCTCCAACTGGCAGAGTGCTGCACACTTTGGGTTTGGCTGACCGGCAGGCCCGCAGAGTGCTCCGAGGCGGGCAGTAATTCTGTACTGGGCTAGCTCTCAATGAGGGAAGCTACGCAGTGTTTGCTTGCTTTGCGCTTGTGTGGTTTGTTGCGTCCCGGTGGTGTGCGGCGTGTGCGGATAGAGTTGTTGTTTCGCATGGGGCCTGTCGCTAAATCATATTGATCAGATGGGTTCCCTTTGTTCGTCTGCAGGAGTGTTGAACTGAGCCAGCTTCCCTTCATCCAACTAAGTAGATGAAGTGGGTGTGTTCGCACTTTTGGCTTTTTACTTGGCGGTAGACTGAATCATCCGGCCGGCCCCTGCGCCTTCGAACTCAATCGATCTTTTCACGCTAGGCCCGCAGCGAGGCCTGCCGGAAGCGGCCCAGGCTCGCCCGAGTGCCTGAAAAGGGAATTGCGGATGGGTTGTTTCTTGTATGGTTGCAGGCGACCAGTAGACCTTCGGCCAAGCTGCAAGTTTGATTTGAAATGGTGGCTAGTGCACGAAAGGCATCCGGGACATGGGTTGATCTCAAACGACGAACCGTGCATCCAGGAACCCTCACGACGACTTTTGGCATACCCAAACCATCCCCAATGAGGATGTTATGAGGGTGTTTGGCCGTTTTTTGTTTGTTTGTGTGTGTGTGTTTTTTCGGCGTGCTGAACATTGGCCTGGAAGGTTCTTCAAGTCGGAGAACAATATTGGATGGACCTACGGTGGCAGGGGTTGCTCATGTCGGACAAAATGAGATCCTGTGGCGGTTAGTTTGCAGAGAGAGAGAGAGAGAGTGGGCCGCAGTCTATGGTCCGAAGCACCGAACCACCCCTAACTAAACACGCAAGGATGGCAATGATTCTGTTAATGAACTGCTTCGCTGCCACTGGGGCAATTTGTAATCCCATTCATTGCACCAGAAAACAACGTAACGCGACATGGCCCCAAACCTGTGCTTAGTTTCTTTGACCTTGCTTCAGGACGTTTCGTGATTCGGGCACGGTGGATTGGTTGGAGGCGTTGTTGCAGGGATCTGTTTTGACGGAATATATGCGAGAACTCGGACTGGAGCTGATGTCTGACGAAGTCGTCACAGATACTGTGCTAAAGCCTCCCCTGATGCAAAGCGACAACGATGCTAAGAGGAAGCAGACCGAGCTGTTTCTTGCTCGACAGCCTCGGCTGAAGAATTCCCCTGAAGTGTGGGACATATTCCTGACGGGAAAGAGGTACAAGAAAGGCACTTTTCGAAACCGTGGCAAGCAACATTGGTTTGAGAGTTTTAGGCGCATTGCGATTCCTTTGATGTGGAGCTTGAAGGAAATCACAGGTCCTGCACGTCTAGCTCTCAGAGTACGTTCCAGATGACTTGCACGTGACAGACTTGACCAGCCTGGCGCATGACATATCACTATATCCCACTTTGCACCACGAGTCTAAGGGTTGTTGGATTACACCCTGGGATTACACCCTTGGGAAATTGCCCAAAATGCTCCAAAACATGATGTTATCCCGGAAATATGCCTAAATGGGGTCATTTCCCAGTGGGTCAAAAACCCTCAGAATGAGGGTTGGTTTGCCTAGCCAACGACTACAGTTGACAATACCTTCACGGGCGTTCTCTCTTGTATGTGTCTACAGGGTGGCTGCCATTTTGCGAAGTCGAGCATGTGCTTGGGCAATATGTGTTCCATGTGCTGGCAGTGTATGCCACCCATGTACAATTCCTACAAACTAACGTCTGGTTGTGTCTACACACTAAGAGCAAAAAGCGGATTCTCTTTTGGTGCAGTTGTTGCATGTCCTGTCGAAACCCTGGAACACGTGTTTTGCGACCGTTGCCTTTGTTGACGTATGTTGACAGCTTCTTTCGTGCTGAGTGTATATGATTTTTACTACTTCTGGCTCTGATCATAATCACATGAACTTAAACACGCACGGCGCATATCACATAGATAATGGGGCACCATGACCAATTGCCGGTTTCAATGCTTGCAGAAATAGAGCCCAGTAAACGGCACCACGCCCAAGCTTTTGGGTTTTGGTTGGCTTTGGTTTCTGCGATCTCTTGGTGAACATCCAAGGTTCTTTGGCGAAAAGGTATGCCCCTGCTCGCAAACCGACCCCACTTCCTTTGTGGCCATGTTGGCATGGACTCGCGCAGTATGCAAACTATGATTATTATCGACAGCTGCCCCAACAAGCCGGCTCCTCACTTTGCCGTTGCCTCCTGCCCCATGAGAGCAAAATGAGCCACAACCATGTCGACTTGAAAAGACCATTTCAATATTGCCCATGTCTCATGATTCTGAAGAACAGGGGCCTGGAAAATCAAGGATCACGTCCACCGCGACAATCCGCAGGTCTTCCCAATCCCTCCCCCCCCCTAAATCCCATGCATTTTGAGACGTTCAAAATAGATCAGCATCATACTCAAGCGTAGCATTCTTACTGGTGTGGGGGGGGGGTGTTTTTTCTTCTTTTCCGGGCCATGCACGCAACAGTCATGCACTAAGCCCCATTTGGCTGTGGCTCAAATACATGTACCAACATGGCACCAAAAGGTCAATGGAACCAAAGACAAACACCTGCGCAACCCTAGCTCTGAAAAAAAACATGAGCCGCGCCCATTTTGCCTCGGTCGGATGGTGTTTCTGGCCGTGAAGGGCAACCACAGAGCCGACTCCCAGGGCCCTCGGCCGCCTCGGCTCGGCTTCGCAGGCGCCGCCTGGCAGAGCCGCTGGAGTCTCCGGGGTCACTTGGATGCCACGCGCTGCGCCGCTCGCCCGCAGTACGCCCGCAGGGTTGGGCTTGCTATCGCCGGCAACCTGGCGAGTCAAAGAGGTTCGGTCCAGAAAGTCGGCTGGTGAGTTTGGGAAGGTTTTAGGGCAACCGCATACTTGGACTGCTCAATATGAGGCGCCAGCCTGAAGGATTGAAAATTGGGTCTGGATGGTTTTAGGTTGTCAAGGTTATTTGGCTCTGGAATTCCCAAGTACGTATTTTGGTGAAGTTGCCTCCATTTTCCCAGGTTAGGATCAGTTCCATGTACGTAACTGACAACTTCTTTTTCTAAGTCGACTTTACGTGGAGATCCGTCCCCAAAGAACAAGAGTTGAGAACAAACGCAGCATGGTTGCGCCGCCCAAGTGCTATGCTTAAAGTCTCCAGCCCTTGGGAGGAGGGAAGCCCAAAGAACAGCCGAACAGCTGGAGTGATCCAAGACAGAGGCGTCACTCTAGCGTTGCTCGAAGTGGGTCCTGGAGTTGGCTGGACCCAGCAACTTGTTGGCCCCATTCTTTTTTCTCGCGTTTGGTCTTCCCGACAACAACCATGGCGCCCCAAAGTAATTCGTGTTTCTCGTGGCCAAGTTGCTTTCTTTCAGTTCCCACGGATGCTAGCCTCCGCCAATAAAGAAGCGACCTTCCGGTCCGGCGCCCCCAAAGGGGATTGGACGCCTGAGAGCGGTAGGCAGCCTTTGAAGCACAGGGGCCACAATTGGTGACATTCTCTTTGGGCGAGTTGGGGAGCCATTAAGATGTTTCGCAAGCAGCTAATGATTGACCAAGTTGGAAGCCATCTTTCCCAGCTGCTTCACGTGTAATTACATCATATAATAATCATTCAGTCGAGATCGCGTCGCACGTATCACTGCGACTTAGATGGTCTTGGATGACTCGAACCTGATTCTGGTCACGTCCGGCGAGGCGTGCTCATGGGACAGGGTGACCAAACCACGAGGATAGAAGTGGGTCAACGGTTCAAGTTCCCGGTGGTCCTTTTTGGATCACCCCTATTGGTCAACTCTTTCTGGCGGGGTGCCGGTGCTTTGGAGGTATGTTGGTGCACTGAATCACTGAGCTCTCCCCCCGCAAACCGACCATGCACATCTGAGGGGCTTTCCTGCCTCAAGGAACTCAGTCGGCTTGTCTCCATTGGCTTTTGGTGTATCTGGAGATCTGCCAGTTGCCCTTCCCCTTGGAGCCTATTTGGCCGGCCTACCATTTCGCTTGAGAACTCAATCACGATAGGAACGGATCGACCCCGAGAATGGTCGAATTCCTCGTCCGGCTTCACAGCACTCTCTGGACCGAGTGCGAGGGCTGCCAGTTGATCCCCCTGACTCATGCCCGTGCGCGTCCTAAAATGCGGGGCAGTTCAAAACGGGAGCCAACATGAAGGCCCTACGGCCATCGTTTGCCCCACGTTTTCAATGGGCGCCTCGTGCACGTGACCCGGAAACAAGTGAACCCGTGTGAGGCCAAAAGCGTGCACGTTCAAGGGAACCCGGAAACAAGTGAACCCGTGTGAGGCCAAATGGTAGCGTGCACGTTCAAGGGAACCCGGAAACAAGTGAACCCGTGTGAGGCCAAATGGTAGCGTGCACGTTCAAGGGAACCCGGAAACAAGTGAACCCGTGTGAGGCCAAATGGTGCGTGCAGCTTCAAGTGGAACGTTCAAGGGAACCCGGAAACAAGTGAACCCGTGTGAGGCCAAATGGTAGCGTGCACGTTCAAGGGAACCCGGAAACAAGTGAACCCGTGTGAGGCCAAATGGTAGCGTGCACGTTCAAGGGAACCCGGAACAAGTGAACCCGTGTGACCCCGAAACAAAAGCCCTATTTCAGGGCTGCTCGAAGGATCCTGTATCGGCGACCAGTCATCGGTCACATCATGGTTCTCATGCTCGAGTGACTGCTGCTGCGCTCTGCGAAAGCCATGCCAGACTTTGAATCTCTTCCTTCTTGGCGTGTCTGATGTCTTTGCTGGACTAGGATCACCTTCGCATGCCAATTGGTTCTGGAACTTTCGCTTGGATTCAGGCGAGGTAAACATGGCACGAGGTAAACATGGCACGAGGTAAATATGGCACCGGCCCTTGCCCTTGCTTGAGCATCGCAAGCGGCGGTGGCAAAAACGCTTATACTGCGTGGGGCAAACGATGGCCGTAAGCCCAACATGAAGCCACCCAGAGAGTTCCCCACACATCTAGGTGAAACTTTGAGAAGGGCCCTTTAAAACAGGGGGTGGTGAGGTGGTCGATTGTTGTTTGAGTCATTGTAACGACCCTGTATTTTTCGAGGAACCGCCCGTATTCCATACAGGCTCAGTTTCATGTACCCCTGGCTGGAACTCGCTCCTTAGCTACAATCAGACCCCACACACTTCGTAGGGAGCCTCTGCCCATTTTGAACATCGCATCGCCAAATTGCTAGAGTCTAGCTTGGCCAAATATAATTTCGCCTGAAGCAGGCCACTACCACCGAGCAAAGTAGAAAAGGTACCATTCCAGCCACTGGAAGGTACTAGAAGGCACCTGAGCATTGCTTCAGACTCGTTTTCGTTTCAGACGTGGGACGTGGTGGGTTCTGAATTTGGTTGCCTCCTGTTGCAAGCCTTGTAATCGATTGGCTTCTCGCGATGCGGGGTGCCTTTCGACTTGTTTTGACTCCAAGCACACATGCATTCTGCGTGACCCTGGTTGTTGGTGCATGTTTCCGAACACCAATGACCCTGGCTTGGGCGAGACGTTTGCAAGGGCCACTTCCATTGCCAGGTTCCTGTCGCTTCTCCGAATGCACCAACAGCTATTTTCGAGCGCGACAGGACGTGCTGGTGAAGTGCTGGGACCTTCGCAGCATTTGGAGGTGTGGCTGCGGGATGGACACGAGAAGCTTAAGGGTGGATCCATTCAACACACGGCAGGTGAAGAATTCTCGCGGTGTTTCGTGTATTTGCTGTCCGTCTTGGAATGGACCAGCCCTGGTTCGCTAACAAGTGCGCGAGGGAGGGGGAAGGGGGGAGGGGGGCCGGGACTGGTGGGCTCTTTGTGCACCGCCTGTTTAGCGACTGCCGCGAAGGCCCCTGTTCAGCACGGTGAGATTGTCTTTGGACATGTGCCAAGATCCTTTATCCAGAACTACTCTGGCGCTTTCAGTTGTCCTCGATCACACCAAACCACAGCATGCCACTGGCAAGACTGACAGTTTTTGAATAAGTACCTGATAGGAGATGGTGGTCATGGATGCAAACTCGGAACAAAGCGCTGCCTGATTGACCACCTCCCCACCCCTTAAGGATCCTCTGAACGCAAGATAATCAGGTTGCGTCTTACGTATTGTTTCTGTTGATCCTTTTTAGCCATTCTGATGTTGAGGCGCTGACACGGGATTGGGGACACAATGCATTGTGGTGCTTTTACTGCTGCTAAACTTGAGGAGATGTTGGTTTAGCTTGCATTGCAGCGCGTGAACAGGGCGGCGTGGGAATGTGAATCCATACACCTACAAGACGGAACCTCGCTACTCTGCCCCTTGAACCAAGCAAGTCTTTGTCAGCATAGCTGTAGCTTGATCTGAAAAGTTATAGTTAAGACTTAGGCAGTCTTTTACGCGCACTGGTTGTCAGGGCCCAGCTACAGAGTCATTATGAGGTGCCGGCCATGTGAAGATACTTCAAGAACTAGGGTTCCACTCACAGGGCAGCTTGATGATTTGCTTGCCGCGACAGTGGGCGTTGCAGTGGGAGGCAAGTGAAGAGTATGCAATCCCAAAAATTAGAGGCGGCACTAAACCAGGGTTTCAACAAAGAGCTTGTCTTTTGCCAAGCCCGCGCGTGGGTTGCTCCACCTTCGATTCGAGGTCATGTCAATGTGGTGCGGGGGGTTCCAAGGCAGTGATCCTGGCCCATTGGGCCATTGGGCATGCAAACATTCGGGGCAGATTCCGAGTGAGTTTTGGTTTGCGACTCGCATTTGCGACCCTTTTCATGATCAAGGTTCTTACTTAGTGGTCCCTCATTTCAGGCTGGTGCGTGTGCGTCTGATTCACGCGAAAAGGTCGAGTAGGGCACAGGCAGCTGCAACATGCCATGTTTCTTGGGAAGGCCAGTCGGGAGAAAAAAAACAAAATTGGACTCTCTGCAGATCATCCTCCCTGGAAGTCCAGACAACGTTCGTTCATCGTACAGCTAGGTTACAGGTACTCCAGATCAGCACAAAGCACTGTAAACCGATGAGGAACTCCCAAAATCGACGTCCAATAAACATATAAACTATTGCAGCAGTATGTGAATTTCATCTTTGATGCTTGACCCCAGATGTGAACTGATGCTGGACTGATGCCGTGACCGATGCCGTGACCGCTGTCCTGACCCATGCCCCGGAAGTGACACGCTGGTCTATAAGAAAATGCCAACACAATGATTGCTTTTCGGTGAAGGCACCCAACGGCAATTGTCTTTCCCGACCCCTATTTAGTGCCCAGGATGATTCGAATGGCTTGCAAGCTTTCCAAGCACTGACCAGTTGCGAGGACCGTGAAGAAAACATTGCCAGACTTAGCTGACCTTTTTAACCTTTTGGCTGATTCTTTTCTCTTCAATGTTTCCTTTCAACCAGCAAACACTTTAACTTTACAGTCTGGGCATTGGGGCACTTGGTGCATTTTTTGGTCATACAGTCTCATTCGCTCCGAGTTCGTGGTTTACCGCCTCTGTCACGAGTTGTGATGCGGAAGTCTTGGGCAGTTTGCCCAACCAATGGCTCACCTTTTCCGGGGCCTGTCTCCCGAAGCAGATCCCGGGGATCCATCGGATGGATCGGCAGGGTGGACAACACCCTGGACATGGAGCCCTTCAATGTGGCGCCTCGGCGATCCGTGGAATCTGTTGACGGGCTGGAAGCATGGGCTTGTGAAACTGGAGAACACGGTGTTCTGTGGTTGTCATCGTGCATGCTTTTCTCATTTAGTGTGAATCAAGCACCTGGGACCTGGGGAGGTTCCTATTCCGTGCATGTCAAGCATTGAAATAGCTCCACCGTCTCAATTTAAACTTTCCCACGAGGCCTGGCCCCAAGCTATGGATAGGATCACCATGACGTTTCATTTGGGGCCCCTTTAAGCTTTGGTTTTTGGCCGCATTTCATACTGGCCCGCTCTTCATACTGTCAAGCATCAAATCTCTATTGCAAGATGGCTTAGCCTATGCCATTGATCATTAGGATGAAACTACAGGCAGCTCTCCCTTTCTGTCGGAAGGGGTATGATGACGCCATGGGGGAATTGTCCCTTGAACTCTAAGCCTACAGTAAAACAACTAAGCGGATAGCCAGATTTTGGCAGGGCTCCCTAAAAGATACATTTTGCCCAATTGAAACCTGGCTTTTTCCACCAAAATAAAGGGAAACCACCATTTACAAGGCAATGTTCAGGGGTATAATGTAAGGATCCCTGTTTTGGCAAGCACATCTTGGATTGAACCAAGAAAGGTCGTCAAGTCTCCAAGTGTGAGCAGCTCCTTGGCTCAGCTTCGCGGCCACTCCGCCGCGGTGCTCGCGTTGACCTACCGGCCCCAGGACGGAATGGGGTCAGTCTGTGAGACTTGAATACGTTGGGCGGTGGATTCTTTTGGGGAAATCACTTCCTCTTAAGCAAAAGGAGAACTGTTTATTTTCCGATGTTGATCTTGAAGGGAATCTATCACTACTGGACATATGTTGATTTATATTTTTCCCGGGGACTTAAGCAAATGGCTGACTTTCATGATTTGGGGAGTTCACTCTCTCAGATTTGCTGGATGTGATGCGGGGGGCGTGGTTGAAGCTGCTTGTTTGGAAGTCTGAGCAAGCCTGAGCAGGGTCGATGGGTTGCAGTTCGGAATTTCCTGAATATATTTAAGGGCTGCCGCCCTGTGCCGCCGGCCCCTGCTTGCTGACAGGGGACGTTGTTATGACAATTATGACTACGCATTTTTTGGCGGGTTTCACGGCGCATTTAAAGCAATATGAAAAAGAAGAGCAGCACGATAATGATGATGTTTTTGATGATGCATTTTTCCCAACATTAGGGATGCTGATACTATGCATTTGCATTATCGCCAGCAGTTATGATGATATTTGTTACTTTGCATTTTTTAGCATCACCAGCAGTTGTTCTGATAATTATGACGACGCATTCCATCTCATCTCAAACAAGCCACTGCGGGATAAATTCGCATGACAATAAGCACCTTGTTGAATTTTACCAGAAGTGTCTCGGGTGTGTGGAAACTCGGGCAGGAAACCCATGTTGGGGGCCTTTTTTGTTTTGCTTTCTTATTCTCAAGACTTCGATGTATTGCTGTGGATGCGAAGTGTGGACTTTGTGACTTTGTGCCATGGCTTTGTCTTCGCGAGAAGTAAGCCGTTAGGAATGAACATGATGATGATGACGATGGCGATCATGATGAACAGCATGATCATCATGATGATGATGATGATGATGATGATGATGATGAACACCACCATCATCATTTTCATCATGATGTTCATCATCATGTTCATCATCATCATCATCATCATCATCATCATCATCATCATCATCATCATCCTATTGATAATCATCACTGCGCATCCTCAGCGTCACCAGCAGTTAACGTCCTCATTATGCATCCCCAGCATCAGCAGCTCATCATCATGTTCATCCTCATGTTCATCATCCTCATCATTTTCATCATCATTTTCATCATCATGTTCATCATCATCAGCAGCATTTTCCTGGTGACAATCATCACTACGCATCCTCAGCATCACCAGCAGTCAACAATCATCACTATGCATGACAATCATGACAACGCATCCTCTGCCTTTCCAGTCGGGTCTAACGGCACGGTTTTGATGATGAACATGATGAGGGACATGATGATGCAAATGATGATGATGATATGATGATAAAGATGATGCTGATGATGATGAACATGATGATGAAAATGATGTTCATCATCATCATCATCATTTTCATGATAATGCTCATCATGTTCATCATCATTATCATCATCATCATCCTGATGATAATCCTCAGCATCACCAGCAGTTGACGTCATCACTGTGCATCCCCAGCATCAGCAGCAGTCATGACAACGCATCCTCTGCATTTCCAGTCGGGTCTAACGGCACACTTGAAACGTACATGAAAAAGAAGAGGAGGAACATGATGATGCAAATGATGATGATGAACATGATGATGATGATGAACATGATGATGAAGATGATGATGATGATGATGATGATGGATGATGAACATGATGATGAAAATGATGAACATACATGAAAAACAGATGGAAATGATGATGATGATGATGATGATGAACATGATGATGAAAGCGATGTGTGTTCAATGATGATGATGATGAACCTGATGAACAAGTAGTCATGATGATAATCATGACGACGCATCCTCTGCATCACCAGTGCTCTCTAACTGATGACGAGGGTGACAAGGATGATGACTGTGATGATAATTGTCCAGCGTCCAGCAATCCTCATGATGATGATGAACATGATGATAAAAATGATCATCATCATCATTTCCATCATCATGTTCATCATGATCATCATGTTTTTCATGTCCATCATCATTTTCATCATCATGTTCCCCGAGCAGATACCATGCCAGCATCAGCAGCATGACAATGAAAACAACGCATCCTCTGCATGTCCAGTCGGGTCTAACGGCACACTTGAAACGTACATGAAAAAAGAAGAGCGCCACGGTAATGATGATCCGGATGCTGTGAACCATCACTCAACATCAGCGGTGATGATAATCATCACTAAGACCAGGACAAAGACAAGCCCTTCCCATGCGCCTCCCCTTTGGAGAAAGGGGTCGGCGGATTATTGGGAAACAAGTTGTTGGTGTCATCAATCCTGATGGCTATAAATTCAATGAATTTACTGATGCTGACGGGCTCCAGCAAAAGGATGTTCTGACTTACCGAGTGTTTGAGGAGGTCATCATCATCTATCATGCTATCACTGAGCCAAGTCCAAACGTTGTCTGTTTAGAAGCGAGACAACGGACAAGTGTTAGTGCGCATCACACTGGCTGTATCCAGACTCACACCCTAGCAACATCAATAGGATATTCTGTGGGTCTACTTCCGTGGCACTATGACAGGGCCGATGGGGACCTGCGTGACTTTCTGGGACACCGGTACAAGCTTTCCTGAGCGACAGACATGTCCCGAGTTGGTTGAGGATTAAACGGGGTCCCTTCTTTGAGCCCCCAATTCTCAACGGCAACGAAATGCGCTGCATGCGAATTTGGGACACCTGAGCTGGCAATACCTGTTTTGCCAACCCAAGATCAACAAGCCCATTTGTTGCATAGCTGGCTTTTCATCGTTCTAGTTGCTAGCCTATGTGTTGTTTGAAACCTCATGTTCTGCGTCCGTGTGCAACTACATCCACTTCAGCAGCTGCATCCACTTCATTTCTTTATTCCAAGCATTCGTCAAAGGCAATTCGGAGGAGGTTTGTTTGACCAAGGCAAAACTGCGAAGGCAAAAACCTGCTGTGCGCTGGACCCACTGGAACATACCCCCTGCAGACATGATGGAACCCCCAATAGCTTACTGGTGTTTAAGCGAGAATTGGGGAATACAAGGGTTTAGCAAAATGGTGAAACTCTCAGTGTCAATCTCTCTGGTTTTCATTACAGATGATGATGTGTGCCACAAAATCGATAAGCATGTGCATATGTACAAAATTATATTGCAAAGAAATGCGCATAGCAAAGCATGTGCATGTGCATATATAAACACATATGCATAAAAATGCAAACACATACGTGCACACAGGTGTGTTCCACTGGGTACAAACTTCAACGTGGCTTCAAGCAGCTTTGGGGAAGACTTCATCAAAGCCCCCCTCACAAAGAAACAAAAACACACACCGAGAATCAACCACAGAAAGTTGTTGTTTGTGTGATAGCCCTAACATGCAAGCGAAGACTAGCCAGCTTCCAGAAACATGCAAACATTAAAACATGTCAAGAGACTCATGGCGTGTGGCCACGTATTAAAGTCAAGATCTGCTGACCTGAATTCAGAAGCCTTATTATTTCATTGTTTGTTACGACCAACCAGTCAATTGTTGTTAAGTGTGTTCCAACAGCTCCCTGGCGAATCCATCCCTGTCTGTCAGAAGGGCCGTCGACACCATGATCAAGGCAAGGAAAACTAATTAGTAGACCACTGAACAAGTGGCTAGCCCTGGACAAGGGCACTTGTTTATGTTCGGATGGCAGGTTTGCGCGAAAATGGCAGGGCTGCTGAGGCCAGGGGCGGTTGCCGACCAGCAGCAGCCAGCAAGCGAAGCATGATACATGCGCTTAGGACTGCCCATGATGCTAAACACATGTTTCAATTTCAGCATGCATCCGTACCATATTTGTGGTGGTTCATGCATGTCAAGGTATACCGACCAGCCAAAGCCAAGACTTGCAAGCTTGAAGGGCCACTTTTTGATATCTTGTCATGCTGGGGGTTGCTGGCCAGCAGCCCAAAAAAACAAAACATGGCACGCGCTAAGGGTTGAAATTTGTGGCCTGCAGCCATTATTGTTAAGATCTGCTGACCAGCAGCCAGCTGAATAAGAAGCCTTAATTCATTGTTTAATTCATGTCGTGGACTAGGCAGTCAATTAAAGGTTTCCAGCGAATCCATCCCTGTCTGTCAGAAGGACCGTCGACACCATGATCAAGGCAAGGAAAACTAATCAGTAGACCACTGAACAAGTGGCTAGCCCTGCACAAGGGCACTTGTTTATGGGCGGGTCGGACGGCATCTCACTCCAGGTTTCATGTCAGCAAAAACGGCAGGGCTGCTGAACAGCAACCTTGCATTTGCTTCAGGATATGTGTTATTTTCACTCATTGTTTATTTTTTAAAGGGAATCTACCTACTGGAAATAGTGCATTTTTCCAAGGGGCTCCAAAGCAAGTGGATGCGATCCTGGCAAAGGTGCCCATGAATATGTGAGTGGCGGTTGCTGACCAGCAGCGACCAGCAGCCAGCAAGCAAAACATGATAAACACGTGCAAACATATCTTTCAAGTTCAATTTGTGGTCATGGCATCCACGCCGTACTTGTGATGGTTCATTCATGCCAACGTCAAGATCTGCTGACCAGCAGCCCCTGAAGGCCACTTGTGCTGAGGGCTGCTGACCAGCAGTCCAGAACGAAAAGCAGAATGGAAATAAATCTGCAACATTGTGGTCTACATGCAGTCCTGTTAAGATCTGTTTTGTTGTTACATATCATGGGCCTGCCAGCAAGTTAACGATTGTCATGGGTGACAGGTCCCTCGGCGAATCCATCGCCGTCGACACCATGACCAAGGCAAGGGAAACCTGCACAAGGGCACTTGTTTGTTGGTGGGTCGGATGGCCTCTAGCTCCAGGTTTGGGGCTTGGGCAAAATTGGGAGGGCTGCTGAACAGCAATGCCCATTAAAATATGTGAGGGGTGGCAAGCGAAACGCGACATAAAAACCTGTTTGAAATTCAAGATATGTGGTTGTGCATCCGGACCGCC